AACGGTGGCTTTCAGAACCCTCCGAACACGCTGATCTCGTTCGAGCAGTTCATGAAGATGCCGTTCGCCATCTGGCTGGCCATCCTCAACGTGCTCAGCCCGCTCGAGCTGCTGAACTTGGCGGGCGCGCATTCGTTTTTCAAGGTAGTTAGTCCGAGAATTTATGGCTGATGTACTAGAAAAACTCTCCAAAGCCTTAAACAATTGTAACGATAAAATTGGCTTATTCTTGGTTTTTAGTAAGCATTTGAAAAATTTTTCGGTTTAGGAATAGGATTCCGAATAGCAAAAATGTTTTTAAGCCGTTGTTACTATTTCTAAACGTAAAGTCTTTACAAATTTTCATTAAAAATTGCAAAAATAAAGACTTTTGACCGTACCGTTTTTGCGGAAAATTGCGCATTTTTGCAAAAATTTTCAAAGTTTCTCTAGTTTAAATTGGGTTTTCTTACTGAGAACACTACGAGAACCGCGATACTGCCTACTCCCTCCTTCAGGATCTCATCACCAAGTCGCCGAAACGATGGGGCGCCTTCAAGTGGGCACCGAACTTTTGCAGCCAGGACGAGCCCTGCGAGTACGAACCCAGATGCTTCTGTCTGTACTACAGCTTTCAGCGGCTATAAGCTGACGCGCAGCCGGTTCTGGTGGGAGACAAAACGCACAACTTTTCTCGCGTACGGATGTGAATATAGGTAAAATACAGTGGGCTGCCATTTAATTTATTGTCTCCTAGTTACATCAAGGACCTGAGAGAAATCGAGTGGTACGACGAGCGGCGTTTCACGCCGGTGCGCCCGCAAGATGAGCGAAAAGAAACCGCCGCCTCCGATTTATACATTCTTTTTCACAACGCCACATTCGATCAGGTATCTCAGCGTTGTATTCAATTTATTATTTTTTTGGTTCTTTTGCGTTATCGGTGGGGGAAGTGTTTTTTCTTTTCGCTTTTATAAATATAATTTTTTAAATATAAATAGCGGAAGTTTCTATAAATGGTTTTTTACTATTTCTAACCGTACAAACTTTACAAAATGTTAATAAAAAAAGGTATAGGTATCGATTTTTCCACCAAAATGGCCGTTTTGTTAACAAATTTTACTTTTCGGAAAATTTTTCCAATTCCGGTATTCTGGACATCAGGTTTATGTTACAGTTTGGCGTCGGAACGGATTGGCACGTGCCCGGCTCGAACCACTACCGGATCATCCCATCGATCCGCGCGGCCACGGCGTTGATGCCGATCAGGGGCCTCGAGGAGCGCGATTTTCGTCAGATGGGTAAGAGAAAAACTTTTCGAACCAAGCCTCATCTTTTTTTATAAATGGCGATTGGGTTCCTACATTGTTTTTAGCTATTCCTACGCATCAAAACTTTACAAATTTTAATTAAAAATTTTCATTTTATGTCGAAAATTGATTTTTTCGCCAACGCCAATTTTTTAAGCGAGCGGATTTTTCAGACTAAACTCAAAGCAAAAAAACAAACTAAAAATTAAGCGAGCGAATTTTTTTGGCTGTTTTCACCTCAGACTCGCCGAACTTTTTAGTCGAGCTCCAGCCCCAGTGCGTGGCCGTGCATGGCGACCACGCCGAGGGATCGGCTCAACTCGGCTCCATCGTTCAAAGAGTGGTCGCCTTGATCCCGGTGGGTTTATAATTTAAATGGGGGAAAACATATTTTTAAGCTAGCTTTCAAATTTATAATTTAAACGGGGTAAAACCCATTTTACGCTAGTTTTGAAACTTACAACATAAAAAAATATTTTTTTAAGCTAGTTTTGCAATTTTATCTTGTAAATAGAAAAACGATCCTTTCGCATTATCGGGTGGGGGGGGTTGGAGAATTTTTTGTATTAGTAACTTGATAGGAAGTATTTTCATATTTTTAGCACAATAAAACTATATGATAACTAGAAAAACTATCTAAAAATTTTGAAAAAGTGTGAAGAGGTCGAGATTTTGCTCAAAAACGGCAATTTTTGGTCGAAACATCGATAGTTTTTCGTTTAAGGATAGCAAAGATTAGATTACAAACACTTCCGCTATTTACATTAAAAAAATTGGTCCTAAAAAAGTTTAGGTACAGTGCGGTTCTCGATGAAACGTCAATCTTTCCAGGGCCTGCAAAAGTTCTGGATCTACATCGGGCATCACGCCTCCGAGATGGACAGTCTCCTGGCCGTCAAGGCGCCGACTATCACCGCCTACTGCGAAACGTTCATCTACGGTTGGCGACGGTCGATCAGAAGCTCAACTTGACTGGTTTAGACAAACGGAAGTACGCGTACGTGCCTGGCGTGGGTCTGGCGGAAATGCTTCGTGAACAACTGTGGACTACGCTCAACGCGCTCATTGCGGTGAATTTTTACGGGTTTTATAGGTTAGCGGGGCTGGACTGTTAGAGGGTAGGGGGGGTTTAGCAGGGGGAAACCACTTTAAAACCTTAGTAGTCTTTGATGGTCGGAAAATTTCAAAAAAATTTAATGTTTAAAATTCGAAAATTTTGTCGTTTTTCGATCATTTGTCATAATTTTGACCAAAAAAGCAAAAATTTTCGAAAATTTGTAATATTTTTTCCATTGTTTTTTATCTAAAAACGTTGGGAAATTCTAGAAAAAAATTTATATTCGGTTACGCGGCCGTACGGGATTACGGAAAAATTTCGATCTCCCCGCTAAACCCCCCCCGCTAACAGTCCAGAACCATCGCGCGCCCAGACCGGGTTGAAGTAGCTCATTTTTTCAGCAATGGGCTCGCGGTGAGCGGGACATTGACACGATCTCCTTCATCTTGCGCTGCCCGACCGGCCGCTACACGTCTTGGGACCGGGAAGTGGACGCTGGTGCGTAATCCAGGATGGGATTGGACACCTTCTTTCAGGCATCCCTTACTGGCCGGACTACATCTCTTACCGGTATGTCGGCCGGTACCGTGTCGACTGGGCCCGGCAGACGAGCGGTTTCTGGCTGATACGTCGAGCACCCATGGTGGGCATTATTCCATTCCACAAACGGGTTCTTTCGCGTTATCGCGGGGTATCGACTTTTTATTCGGATCAGATTTTACAAATATAAATGGATAAAGTTGCTAAGCCTTTTTTTACTATGGCTACGGTTTACTCTATTTATGTTCCGCACCTACAGGTTCAGGGAAGCATTTTTTCGGTAGCGAAGAAACGTCATAGGGTAAGGAAGGGGCTGGAATCGACTGCACACACATAAAATCTTTGAAAAATTGCTATTGGCTATTAAAATTAGTTTTTTTTGTAAAAATCTTGGCTTCCCTCTTTGTTAGGGAGAAATTAGCATACACCGGAAGTGGACGTGGCTTATAAAAAGAAAGGGGGGCGTGGTTTTCATTTTTTGGTCATCGGTTTTCGGCAAGAATTATGCAAAGTCAATACTTTCATAGGTCCTAGACGCGGCCAGGGTTGAAAAGCCGCGAAGCGGTTTTTCAACCCTGGTTTCTAGCTTAATTACAAAACATTTCTCCCCCCACCGATAATGTCAAAGTACCAAACAAACGGAACAATCCGCGTTTGCAGAGCGCCAACGGCCTGCTGATCGGCGTCAAGGGGTCCGCGGTCATGCTCATCTCCTGCGACTACAACTTCAGAAGGTTGGTCGAAGAGGCATTTCCAGTTTCTTAACGCCTTTTTCCTCACACATTGTCTAAAATAGATCTAGGTAAAATTGCTAAAGGCAAAAACTATACTTCACGAAAACACAAGATTATATCGATTTTTTGCCCAAAAATTATTACAGGCCAAAAAAGACGAAAAAGCATAGCGAAAAGTGGGAGAGGCGCTAAATTGAGCACCTCAATTCATACGTCAACTTTTTACCAGCGATACGCCGTGCATAACATATCGTTCCAGAGCTCGCACACAGGACGAATGCGTCGAGTTCATCACCGACTGCGATGCCGCAAAGCAGCAGATCGAGGTCGCATTCGGCAGCGATGACCCGTTGGAGGTGGATCAATGGCCCGAGAGGACCAGGAGGGTCATCACTGACGTAAGCATGAGGATCAGCGAAAATCATCAATCTTTTTAGCGCCGGGCGGCGATGGAACGTGCCGAGAACGCGCTGAAGGAGTGGACGATGAAGGTGCCCCACAACTCGGTGCCGATCCGCGAGCTGGCCGTCGATCGTCTGGTAGCGTTTTGGAGACCTCTCTCGCTCTCCCTTTTTCTCTCTCTCGCTCTATATTGTTCTCTCACTCGCTCTCTTGCTCTCTATATATTTCTCTTTCTCCCCCCTCTCTCGCTCTCTATATATTTCTCTCACCCCTCTTTCGCTCTCTATATATTTCTCTCTCTCTCTCTCTCTCTCCCCTTTCTCCCCTCTCTCTCACTGTCTCTCTCATTGAATCTTTCTCTCTCTAGCTCTCGCTCTCGCCCTCCGTGGCTCTCTTTAGTCCAAAGAATTCCATTTTTTCAGCTCTGGCGCCCGGTCGATGCGCCATTTCAGTCGTCGCTGGAATTCGAGCCGCCGGAGGATCGGATCCTGCACGCCTACAACCAGATCCACCAAAACCGGGACTAGAACCACCGTTCGCTTCCTTTATTTTATATTATACTCGATTGTGATGCTCGTCTTTTGTGTGTGATAAACAATAAATGGGTCTGGCTATTGAAGAAATCAGATTTGGTTTTAACGTAAACACAAGGTAATTTCTCGGGGCTTTTGCGCTATCGGGGGGGGGAGCCGAATTTTTGGCTATTGGACAGAAATGTCTAGCAACTTAATAGTAAGTATGACCGGAATGTTTTGAGTAAGAGTCGGCCTTATTTTAAGTGGAAAATGATCAAAAACAACTTAGAAAACAATCCGGTAGAAATTTTGGTCAATCTGTAATTTTTAGTATTTGTGTATCTATCCATCCAGTTAAAAACTTTATATCACAACCAAGTCGATGTGCCACTGGAATAAAGAAACCCGTATAACAAAAAAAATAGAAATTTGTGGGTATGGTACGAACACTGGCATTCTGTCACTCGTCGGCTTCGCTGCTGGCCTGGGGTTGCCCTGAAATGAGGTTTAGGTTTAGGCTTGGGCTTAGACTTTGGCTTTGGCTTTGGCCTAGGCCTTGCTTATGTTTAGGCTCAGGTCTAGGCTTAGGCTTAGGTTAGGCTCAACTTAGGCTTGGGCTTAGGCTTTCGCATACAGGCTATGGCTTTGGCCTAGGTCGCTTTATTTTTAGGCTCAGGTTTAGGCTTAGGCTTGGGTTAGGCTTAGGCTTAGGCTTGGGCTTAGGCTTATCCTTTGTCATCGCTTTGGGCTCAGATTCAGGCACAAGCTTAGGTTTGGGCTTACAAGGAGTGCTTTTTTTTGGGTCATCGGCAAAACCTTACGAGACCTAGCTCATTCGATAGAGAATTCGATTCTGAACAAAACCCCGTTGTTCTTTTTTGCAGAATGGCTATCCCTGATTTTATAAAATTAAAAGACTAGTGACCGTCTCTTACCATGAGCGCCTTCCGAGCCAAAAGAGAGGCTTTTGGGTGCAGTTTTAAAATTTTATAAATTCAGGGATAGCCATTCTGCAAAAAAGAACAACGGGGTTTTGTTCAGAGTCGAATTCTCTATCGAATGAGCTAGGCCTCGTAAGGTTTTGCAGATGACTCAAAAAAAGCACTCCTTGTTAGATTTAGGCTTAGGCATAGGCTTAAGCTCAGGTCTTAGGTTTCCGCTTGGCTTCAGCATAGGCATAGGCTTTGGCTTATGCTTTAGCTTAGGCATAGGCATAGGCTTATGGGGCTTCGGCTCACACTTAGGCTTGGCTTCTGGAGTTTAGGCTTGGGCTTGGGCTGAGGCCAAGGCTTACTTAGGCTTAGACTTGGGCTTTGGCTTAGGCTTGGCCTTTGGCTTAGGTTATACCGATTGGCTTATACTGTCCTTATCTTTCTAGAAACGTACCAAAGAGTTGCATCAGTACATCCACTTGCTCTTGCTGATCATCTTGAAACGGGACATTATCCTCGGTGGCTTCAAGCATTCGCTTAAGACGATCAATCGCATCGATAGAGGCGCGATCCTGTAAAGTTAGTCGTAGTGAAAATACGGCGTAAAAAGAGAGTACTGGCCTGTTAACCGGGGGGCTAACGTGGAAGAAACCTTTAGGAAAATATCAGCTTTTTGAAGCCTTTTACACACCTTGAGGGTAGAAGCGACTCATGAAATCCTACTATATATAAAAAATAGTGTCTGTGTGTGTGTTTGTGTGTGTGTGCCACTTTGCATCCACTTCCGTCTGTCTGTCCGGAGGATATCTCAAGGAGGGACGGGTATTAGGCTACGTATGATACGTCATTAGGTGCGTAATGGTCTGGGGATGACTGCACACATATCAGATTTTTAAAAATTAGCCATTTTCGCTATTAAATTTAGGATTTTGTAAAAACCTCTTTGTTAGGCATAATTAGCATAGACCGGAAGTGGGCAGTCGTCTATATAAAGAGGCAGCAGGAGCTGTTTTTCATTTTTTTGTCTTCTGAATGGAGGACAATTATGCAAAGGACAGAATTGTATGGGGTCCAAGACGGGGCCAGGGTTGAAAAGTCGCGAAGCGGCTTTTCAACCCTGGTTATGAATTGAAATCCATAATGTATGAAAAACGCGCAAAATTTTCAAATGTTCTCAAGAAAAATTTTTCTAACTTTCTAGCAATCAAAAAACTAATAAAAATAACTTTAAAAACTACACTAAGCATTAATAACATAACAGTAACCAAAAATTAACCTCCCCTCGAGAATTTCTCCCCCCCCCGCTAACAGGCCAGTACCAAATCCGCCCCAAATTGTTGGATTTTCGAGAAGGTTCGATTTTTATAATTACTTATCAATCAAAAACAACGAAGAAACGATAATAATTCTCCAAAAAATAAAAGCTACCTTTGCTGGAGAAGTGGTTGCAGTTTTAGTAGTTGCTCCATTTCGCGAAGGACCCGGCGGTGTCGTTTGAGCAGCTACAAGCGTATTCAAGCCGTTTGGAATTCAAATTACCAAGCTTTTCTTTTTTCGGGCTGCGCCTTTTCACGGGGCTGGCCTTGAAATCCTCGTTGATCATGTTCAGCAGGTCCATCGGGCTCGGCTCGGCGGGCTGGAAATTTCGCAATAACTTATTAAAATATTTTACGTACCTTGTCCGGGGGCGGCACAGCTTTTGCGGCTCGACTTGGCGAAGGCCTTGGGGCCTCAGGCTCTTTGATCGGTGAAACATCTAGAAAAGTAATTTTTTCTTAATAATTAATAAATTTTTGAAAAACTTAATTTTCTCTTAAATTTTACCATCCAGCCCGAACTCCTTGTAGAAGTCCTGGAGGGAGTCGTTGTTCTTGCGGGCGCGCTGCGAGCGACGCCTTTTCACGGGAGGTTCGGCCACGTCCGGGGTCTAAACGAGAACGTAGACTCTTAGCGGGGGTGGAATTTTTGTTTTTCCGGCTACCTGTTAAGTTAAAAAATATCTAAAATCACTTGAAAATTCCAAAATTGTTTACTTTTGGTCATTTTCACGCATTTCTGACGAGAAATCATGGGAAACCCCCCGCTAACAATCCAGTACCCCACAAATTACGACACGGCCTTGCCGGTAAAAAACAAACCGAAATTGCAGCTACCGGCCTCGGTCTCGATGTACTGCCCCTCTGCCTCTGCGGCGGCTTTTCAGGCAAGTCCGGCTTGTCCTTGATCGGGCCGAACTCGCGCAGCTTGCTCTTCACGAACTCGATGCGCACCTCCAGCTCCTCGGTTTGCAGGGGGAAGTTGGACTTGGCCATGTTGATGAGGTCGGAGAAGTAGAGGGTGGTCCTGTGGCGAAAAAGTAAAAGCCTGGAAGCGCCTAGCTACCGGTCATCAACTACTTCTTCGGCTTGCTTGTGCTGGCGGAGTTGATGCTTTCGGATTTCGTCCTTGGCACGACTGGCCATGCCACATTCTGAAAGTTGGTGTTTAAGGCGAAAAACACGGGAAAGCTTAAGCCGAATCCAAGCTTATTAGTCCAAGTAATGCCCAAGTCAGCCTAAGCCTACTCCTAAGTTTAAGCTAAGCCTAGCCTAGCCAAACCGAAGCCTAGGCTTAAACCTAAGCCTAAACCTACGCCTAAACCTAAACGTTTTAGAATCCCTTTCGAAGCGCAAGCTAAGCGCAAGCTAAGCCCAAGCTAAGCCTAAGTTAAGCGAAAGCCTAAGCATACCCTCTTAGCCTATGCCTGGGCCTAAACCTAAGCTTAAGCGTAAGCCCAAGCCTCAAAGCCTAAACCTAGGCTAATCTTATGCCGAAGCCTAATCCCAACCCTAAGCCCAAGCCAAAGCCTAAGCCTATCCTAAGCTTCAGCAAAGCCTAAGCCCAAGCCTAAGCCTAAGCCTACGCTAAGCCAAGTTGAAGCCTCGTAAGTAAGTTTAAGCCGATCATGTCAGGAGGTGAAAACCTTACGCGGGCATTTGAAGGGCTTGTGATCAATGTGTATCATCGAATGCTGCATGATACATATCGTGTTGATGCAGGGGTCCTTTTGAAGGGTGATCTTCTTGCCGCACAACTAAATTTAATAGTTCTTGCCTTTTATGAAGACATTAATAGGCGTTCCGTTACTTTGATAAAACGCTACCTGGCACTGATTCTTCTCCACCTCGCGCTCCTCGTCCAGATGAATCGATAGGCTCTCGTTGAAGCGGGCCAGCTGATTGTCTACATATCGCTCAATGTCCTTCATTTGAAGCGGGAAATTGGTCATGGACATCAGTTTCAGCTTGGCGTAGTAGATGGCCGTACTCAAATTTAGTTTGTAATTTAGTTTGTTTCAAAAGTGTTTAATTTTTACTGTTTTTTTACTAACCGATGATCAATATGCGATCCTTCTTGGTTGTGCTGCTTCTTGCGATGAAGGGTGATTGATTGCCGGCGTGCGGCCATGAAATTGCACTCTGAAAAAGAGATATTATAATTACTGAATAATGGTGGTACATTACAATACTTTTTAGTCCAATTTTCCAGTATTACGGTAAGAAAAAGAGATAAAACTTTAATGTACCCCCACGCCGAGCCGAGGTCCCAAATGTTTTTCGCTATAACTTCTTTATTTTACATTATTTTGAGCTGCAATTAAAAACGCTTAGTATATTTGTTTATGCTCTAGCGAATGGCGTAGTGAAAGTCTTGGCAAAATAGCGGAAAGTCGAAAAATTTTTTGGGAACGCCGCGCTGGCGTAAGTAAAGTCTGGCCGATTTCTATCAGATCGAGCTTAAAGAGTTTTTGGAAAATCTTCCCTAGTACGGTACCATGCTGCGTTTAATTCCGGTCTACCTGAGCACTGGAACGGTCGAAAATCGAGGTGCGCCATCGAGTGGTGAACCAATGTAATTGTCGTTTGCGTCTGATCGCGCCCAGGGGCCAGTCTGCCTCCACATAACTAAAATCATTTGAAAACCAGCGCCCAAAACCCGCTTCGCGGGCCTTGGGCGCTGGACTGCGGCCTTTGCATGAGAAATTTGACTTTCCGATAGCTTGGGTCCTTTGGATCCCTCCCTTCCTCCGACCACACCCGCGCGTGCAACTTGCAAGAATGAGGAAATTTGCATTTTTGGAATTATGCAAATTAGCCCTCCCTGGCGCCGGACACACACACACACAAAGATACGCGACCAAATTATATAAGGTAGGATCATTAGGATTTCGGGCTCATTCTACCTGGCAAACATTCGCGGCAAGCGGAATCGAGTCCTTGTGCACGATGCGCTTGGGCTAAATTTAGTAACCATTTGTTCAAATTAAAATTAACTAATCAGTTAATTAAAAAAAATATAGAAAAATGCTAACCTTTTGATAGTCGCACGACTTTTTCTTGCGTTTCTGAGGCGCCGATCCGACCTTGACGTCACCCCGATCAGAGTCGACGGGAAACGCTTCTTTTGGGTCGTAGAGATCCTGAAACGTTTTGTAATTATTTGAATTATAGAATTTAGACTGACCTCGGCATCATCCTCATCTTCCGCTTTTGTATCAGAGGCATCGTCGAAAAGATCCTGAACGGTTTTTATATTTTGTATTTTCTTAACTTTGTAAATAAACTTTAAACTTTAAATCAGCGTTATTTCTACATCAAATATTATATTTTACGAAATACCTCAACATCCTCTTCCTCATCGGAGTATTTGGCGGATTTGGCTTTATCGGCGGCCATGGCCTAAAAATTTTTATTTGAGTGTATTTACAACAAAAATTCAAAGCAAATTATGGAATTTTTTAAATCAGTAATAACATTACATTTAACGTAGATTTCTAAAAGGAATTTTTCAAAAAGTTGCTTTTGATTATTACACAAGCCTCGTGCCTATTTAATATTTCTTATAACGTCAGTTCTAAAAAAAATATTGAATCTAAAGGGGCGTAAGTTGTTAGACATCACGTTTAGTTCTTTGCAGTGTGACGAGCAATTTTCAGACAAAATTAATATCAGCTTTAATAAAGAATGCTCCTAGTGTAAATAGGATACTTTTAAGGTAAATCAAAACACCTTAAAAATCCATTAAAGATAAGTTAACCATCAATTAATGGTATTTAACTAAAATACACCTAAAAAACCGCATTTTTAAAATTTTGTATACCAAAAAGTACGAACGATTTGAACAGAATATTTTTAAGGTAAAAGGAAATGTCCTAAAAAATTATTAAAGAGAAGGTAACCATGAATTAAGTATATAATTCTGATCGTCTTAATGCGGGAAAGGGGCGCAGATGTGTGGCGGGGGCCTATACTAGGACTATAGCGGCGGTTTCCCCCGTCGCCGGCACGAATCGATTTTTTAAAGGGACTGGGAAGTGCGGGTGCGGCAGGCGCGCCATTGGGCTGCGTTGTCGGGTGCACCGCGTAGCCTCTCTCCCACTGGCTGCCTGCCTCGCCGCCTCTCTCCCCGCTTTGGCGCCACCCCAAAAGAGAGCCCCGGCCGGGGAAATGGGCGAATTCAAACGCGTAAGGGATAAGATGAAAATGCGCTTAAACTTAGATAAAAACAAATTTGAAAACCTAGAAAATCCGAAAATTATCATTAAAACATGAAATGCTAAATACGCTAAAATATTTTTTTTAGAAAGAAGCAACTAAAAGTTTAAAAAGCCTGAAAATGCATAGAGAATCAAAGTCACAAAAACCCAAGAAAAGCTAAATACGCTGCAGATAGTTTTATAAATCCGTTAGAAGCTAAAAAACTGAAAAAGCGAAAGCTGATAGTTAAAATGTACTTAAACTCCACAAAAAATATTTTATCTTAAGAATTTTATTAAATTTCTTTGAATGATTGAATTTTATATTAAGATTTGAAAAGGATATGAGGAATTTTGTTTTTTAGAAACAGAAAAAAAGTTGAAAGCAAGAAATCACGAAAAATTTTAAGGTGAAATCTTAGAAAAACAACAAATTTAGAAGGAGCTCTCTACAATGCCTGGATAGAATGAATTGAGAGCCGCGTATTGTTCATAAAGCCTTTAGAAGCGGATAAAAGCTTACGTTTTCATAAGAGCATTGGAAAAAGCCATGGAAGCGGCTGAGAAAATAGACGTTTTGACGGGAAAATAGCGTAAAAATGAAAGAAAAAAAGCGGAGCAGGTATCACGAGTTTCAGGTTTACTGGAAAGGGGGTAATTAATAATTTTTTAGAGCGCTGAAAAGTATTTGGAAATGAAAATGTCCTATCCGTTCAATATTTCCAAGAACCGAAAAAGTCACAACCTCCTTATCACTCCAGCTAGTTCCAGGCGAGGACGCTCCTGCAACGTGCCCCTGGCTATGGTCATTAATGCGGGTAGCAACATAGCTTGCCACATCTGTAGATCCAGGACTTATCACTTGTGCCAAAACCGCCCGTACCCAAACGCTTAAGAGAAAGTTCAGAGAAGAAGAAACTCGCACTTCCGAAGTAAGTTCACGAAAAACGTCGTGACAGGTGTTTGACAAGAACATGAACTGAAAAAGTGCCAGCCAATAAGCTAATTGTGGCGTATTGTACGTTATTTGAGTTGCATCTGTGATCCACAATCGCACATCCACAGGCACAAAATCAAAAATGAGCCTTAGTTTGTCATTAGGAACCTGCGTGGATTTTGTCCCTCCTAGTGATTTTAAGAAAAAATAAATCCTTTTTGATTTTATCAGTTTATGGCCGGTTCTTCATGCACGCCGTTCAGGTTCCATTAAAGGGCTGCCGACGGCATGTGTCGATCCCCCCCCCCCCTTCAACAAATTGGCAAGTAGCCAACAGGGGAGAGAGCGCGCCCAGGGGGGAGGCGCAGAGGCATTTTCTTTTCCGCGCGTAACCGATTGACTATGCAGTCGGCATCCCTTTAAGTCATTTTTTTGCTGCCGCTCTGTGCTTCCGACTGTCCGGATTTTTCGCTTTTGGCGGCACTGTATTAGAAAACTGGCTTGATAGTGCCCATAAAACACTTTTAAGTGATCTGTTAATATGACGTGATGTTAAATGAGGTGGTTTGTAAATTTAATGCATCTATATATCCATAAGCTGCGATACGAGATTTAGCATCAGTCCGCTTGCTGCACCCCACACGCCGCGTCCCCCTTCCTGGCCATCTTCACCTACCGTATTTCAGCTCCTCCTTGCCTATAGGGTTGTAAAGCACACCAACAGACTCGTCAGGTCGTCAGGTTGGCAAAGAGAAACGTTTTGGTATTTTATACAACGTCAGAGGTTAATTTGGCCCCGAAATGCAGTAGTTGGGAAAGGCGGGTCCATCAAAGCCAACCAAGCCGACCTTCCCAGTCCCTTTAAACACCAATTTTCAGCGTTCTGGATGTAACCCCCATCAACAAAATCCCTCCACTTGTTTTCTGTTTTCGGATACTTTTTTCTCTCCCGTGGAAACCCTAGTTCCAGGGGGGTGACCGTAGTCGGATCGGCTGGCTGGGTCCCGTTCTGGGTGGATGGGCGGGGCCGGGGGTGGGCCGGGCCTTCTGAATGGGCCCCGACCCATCCACCCGATTCGGGGATCGGCCACGACCCAGCATGATGTGTCCTCCCTTAACCTTTGGCGGTCATTTGGACGGGGTTGTAGCTTTCGTTTTATTGGATTTATCTGCCATCAATCTTTGGTTATTTCAGAACAAATATTTTGTTTTTTTAAGGGGGCGGGCAAGTCATGGCTATGAATTTTTTGGGCTATGGATTTGCTACGGATTTTGCTGGACCGCGACACGCAACGCGCGCGCCTGAACAAATTTATATGGCGTAATCGGTGGCGCAACGGAAAAACAGGGAGCAGCGCGCTGCGTGTCGCGGTCTGAAAAATACAAAGTGCTTCCTAATTAGCTCCTTTAACCGATAAAAAAAGTATTTTTTCCTTACCAATATTTTTTTTGCAGGGCTGCAAACCTTGAAAAAAAATCGGAAACGCATGTTCAAGATTTTTTCAGCCTTTACTATTGATTTTGCCGAGCTGCAAGACGCGACGCGGCCAAGTCATCACGTAATGGAAAAGCTAGAGCGCGTAGAGTGTCGCGGCCTGATGAAACTCAAAGGAACCTATTGGTCATCGCAGTAAAAAAAATCAAAAAGTTCGAATTCAAGAAGCTTATGAGTTTAATACCTATTTTGGGTTTTTCAGCCGATAAAATTAGCTCTAGATTTTTTAGATCGAACTATGCAATTGCTGGAGGGTCGCCAAACCCCGAGAAATGGTTTATTCGCCCAGTTCGAATCGTAGAATCCACGTATCAAGCTATTTGGACAACAAATACTCCCCCATACCTGGATACGAGCTTTGAGGCAGCCTGTGTCCCCCCTGCCTGCCGCATTGTCAACCTATTATCCGGATTTTCATTTAGGTGGACGCCCAACTGTGAGCCGGCTATCGGCGAGTGGGACACAATATTGCATATCCCGCTTTATGGCCAAATCATAGGATCTTTGGCCAATTGTAAAAGTTGCATGCTAATTTGGGATAGCGGGAAAATTATCGTCAGGTTGTAGTATCACCTTGAAAGACTTTATAGATTTTTATTTTATGTCACTAATTTATCGGGTTTTAGCGTATATAAGGGTAAGCCCATGCTAAGCCTAAGCCTATCCCTACGCCTGAGCCTAAGCCAAAGCCTACGCCTAAGCATAATTTTAGGCCAATACCTAACCTAAACCTAAGCTTAAGCCTAAGCCTGAGCAGCCTAAGCTTAAGACTCAGCCTAGACCTAAGCCCAAGCCTCAGTCCAAGCCAAAGCGAATGCGACAGCATAAACCTAACATATCCTAGGCCGAATCCAAAACTAAGCTCGTCTGAGGTTCAAAGCCATTTAATTCAACATTTTATTTGAAATCGCCGCCTTTTATTAAAAGGCAGCAAGCAAAAACAGCAACGTTTTCCGACGAAACTGCCTACCTTTAGGGAGCAAGATTCACATTTCGTAGCCGGGGGATGAGGAACTTGGAGGTGGGCCGATGGCCGCATGGGATAAGCCCGATTACGCGCCTCACCCACGTGCTTAAAATTCGTACATCTTGCAGGCGAAAAAACACTTCGTTCATTCGAGTTTGCACAAAGGCAAATCCCTTGTTTTTCATCTTTTTTTATTTCCCGTTTTCCTGAGGCCTGACGAAGACGCTCCAGAATACCCGCTACAGCCTGATCCCAGCGTTTCACGAGTAATCTTTTCTAGCGTTTCTAGCGTAGCGAGATTGCGCAGTAATCTTGTACGCAGTAATCCTAAACCTATACGCCGAAGCCCGAGCCGAAGCCTAAACGGTGGCGTTGTGGCCCGCGGGCTTGTGGTTCATATGCTCGACCTGTTTCCTAATCCTGAAAACGCCGCTTTTTTATTTACATAATTTCCGGTTTTTGGAAATATTAGATGAGCTTATAGGATCCTTTTAAATTCGATTTTTAAACTCTCAAGGCAAACTTCCAAATTTTAGTTTTTTTGCTACCGATTATTCTCAATTTTCATGTCCTCTGTTTAAACCACTGACCTAGGCATGGGCTCATTGCTCGCCGGAGTCGGCGACCTTGTCGACCTCGACGTCGTCGGCGCCAATGGCCGGATCTCAGCCTTCGCCCCGCTCGAGCCGAAGCTGTGCCTCAGCGACGACCTGAAGCCTTACGCGCTACTGGGCGGCGTCGAGGAGAAGCCCCTCTACCTGCCCTTCCCTTCGCCGGCTCCCGGTGGGTATTGGGGGGCGTTTGGTGTAGCCGAATTCGGTGATAACCCTGAATTGTTATAATCCGGAACTGATAATGCCGAAATTTCATAATGTTCAAGGTATTATAGTTTTCGGCATTCTGTAATTAGGTTTCCCAAATTCGAAATTTCGCAAAATCGGCGTGAAAACTGGCACTTCCTGAGCGTCCGTATTATCGTATTTGGCACTACGACGATTTTCTATTGCGAACCGCGTTATAAAAGTTTGAATTTTTGACAATTCGGTATTTTAATCAATTGGTATTCTGACATTTTCTTCATGAAAATCGGCATTTCGGAATCTCGGTATTATGAAAATACGGCGCTAAAAATTCAAACTTTTCGCAATCCGTCATTTGACAGTGCGTTTCCATAATTAAGTCATTTCAAGAGTTCTGTGTTGCGTATTTATCACACTTTTATTGTACGTCGACTACTTCTCATTCCCCATCCTGTCATCAGTTGTAAGTTGTACCGGGTACCGTAATCCTGCGGAAGTGATCTCCCGCTGGTTTTGATTTTTTTTTTCTAATCACTTTGCACCCAGCACCCCCATTTCCGCCGTTTGACTCACCAAAACCTGGTTGTGGGCGGTATTTTGCAGCACTTTTTGCCCTCACTATCCACCAACACTGGATTACGGTGTGACGGGGTACAGTAAGCCTTGGGAAAAACCTTGCGGAAAGCCGACTTTCGGGGATTTTTGTGAGATTTCCGGCGCCGGGCAGGGATTTGTATGCGTGGCGTAACGGCGATTTTGGGTTTCACGTTTTTCTTAGCGTTTTTAATAGTTTAAAGCTTTTTAAAGGTACACTAAAGTATCGTTGGTTTGGTTACCGGCCGGTAACCGTCCGCAGCATAGCAAACAGGGTTACGGTAGGCGCTCTCCGCGGAGCAAAACCGAACCTTGACTGCCAGCTTGGGGCAGCGCCTTGTACCACTAGGCCAAGGCAGAGACGGGAAGGGGGGAAGGGGAGAGGCGATACGAAGGGGCTGGGTCGGCTGCGGCCGAGAGCCCAAATTTCCTACCGCGACCGAACTTTTTGAACGAGATTTTAGTGTACCTTTAAAGTGACTTTATGCAAATTTTCGATAGTTTTGAGGCTGCAAAGGTTTTTTAAGGGTCAGGCAAGGGATAAATCGGGGTGATTTTATCATGATAGCATTTACCGCACGCCGCGAAACGCGACGCTTGTAGCGTTAGAAAAGAAGCGTAATCGCTTACGCAATTTAAATGTTGGGCGACGTGGGTTCAGAAACCCTTGAAAAATCCGCTTTACAAGCTTCAAGCTTCATAAGCCGTCTTATGAACTTCAAAATATGATTTATCTAACGTAATCGGATTCAGGAGCACGAATTATCATTTTTTTTTTAACCTTTCTTAATACACATATCAATCTCTATAATAGATTTTTCTTCGTGTAATCGTATTCCAGGACCCTCCGTTTTCTTTCTAATCCGTCCTGCCATCAGATCCATTTTTGTAAATATTGTTCCCCCCACGTGGCAGCCCATTCTGGCATGCTGACAGCTTACACATGGCGGGTATTTTTGAATGTAGGGATTTCCGAAGACGCAGTTCCCCCCTTCTCATTGTCATTGCAGAGTGAGCTGGCGTAGAACAGAGTTTAGAAGTGATGTGATGCTTACGGGGGGAAGTTTGGAAATGCTGAATGTGATAAATTTTGTAAAATCAGAGCAAAAGGCCTGAAAATTCCGGAAATGTCGGCAACGCTGAAAGCAAAAGTGTTGAAAGGAGCGTCGCGTAGTCCGGGCTTGACTACGCGATAATCCAGTGGACGGACGAACGCTGTTCCTTAAAGGAAAGATAGAAAGCCAGCCACTCTCTCTCTCTCTCTCTCTCTCTCTCTCTCCTCTCTCTCTCTGTCTCTCTCTCTCTATCGTTGTCGCTCGCTCCTTTTCCCTATTTTTCCTCACTATCAATCCTTCGTTTCTCGGCAATTAGCTGCGCCTCTGTCCACTGTACACTTCCGTAGCTCTCCGTTGCTGAGTATCATTGCGTAGTGGCGGCGACAAACCACATACTTCACCCCCAGCATCCCCCCTCTGATCTGGCCATTGTCTTCCACTGGATTCCACCACAAAACAGAAGACCGCCGCCTGGTCAGAGAAGAATGGGGCACAATGAATGGCTCGGGTCGGCCATTTAATCTACCATTTCTGTTTTCGGCCCGATCTGGGATCCACTCCTTCACTAATAAAAATCACGAGACCCAAACTTGGAAAAAAGCAAAAAAGGCGTGTGCTAATTGTAGGTAACAATGGGTGAATAAGATTGAGGTTTGGGTTTTTGGGGTTCGTGTGGTCGGGTTGGACTTTTGTATACTGAGTTTGAAGAGAGAGCGATAGAGAGGGAGAGAGAGAGCGAGAGACAGAGACAGAGAGAGAAAGAGAGAGAGAGAGAGAGAGAGAGAGAGAGAGAGAGAGAGAGAGAGAGAGAGAGAGAGAGAGGGAGGGAGGGAGAGAGAAAGAGAGAGAGAGTGAGAGAGAGGGAAAGGGAGAGAGTGAGAGCGGGTGAGAGATATAGAAAGAGAGACGAGAGAGAGAGCGAGAGAGAGAACAAGACAGACGGAGAGAGGAGAGAGAAAATTACAGCATTTCTTGCATAACAATAGCATTTAGTGTTGAATTTCAAAATACCTATTTTTGGCATTTTTACTTTCCGAAGGGCTTGCGAGCCAAGGCCCAGGCCACCTGTTAAAATTGCTGATTTATTCCGGTACGGCGGGTTGGAATATTTTTGAGGGGTAAACCGAAGGTGAGAAAACATTCCATATTTCTGTTCGCTTGAAAATACTGTTATTCCAGTTCGGGATACTGTATGAAAGAGTAGGTTTTTCGTTTAGTTTTAATTTATGAAAAAAGCGAGGTTCCTATGATCCAGAGAGAGTGCGTGAGACATAGCAAGAAATAGAGAGAGAGAGCGAGAGAGAGAGAGGGAGAGGGAGAAAGAGAGAGAGAGAGAGAGAGAGAGAGAGAGAGACAGTGTTAGTCAGATTTTCAAAGCTCACATCATCACTCCCGTTGATCCTGTTTTCACCACCCAAACCAGCGGCCCCCGATTCCAAATTCAGCCCAAGATCCGGAGATTTTCCCGAAAAAGCCCGGCCGCCACGCGGTCGCCCCCGTTTTCGTGTAGATGATCCCCTAGCAAGATCCCCAATCCCCCACGTCGAAATCTCGGGAATTAGAAGCTGCGCGCCGGGGGGTGGGATTCATGAAGGGAAGAGATAATCCCGACATCGGGTAGGACCTCCAGCCGCCCCCACGGCATTAAAGACACCCCCAGAATAATTCTACACAAAAATATTTGCTTGGCAAAGCGGAGCGGGACCACGTCACTTTAATAGGGTGGAGGAGGAGGTGGAGATGCTGGAGGGGTGGATGGACGAGGGGATGCTATGGACAAGGGTCTTTTTGGGACCGCCCCTGGTGCCTCCACCGAGTCTGGGCATCGAGTACGGGCTGGGATTTGGATACGGTGGGTTTGTAGAGGTTTAAAAAGACCAATAGTGGAATTTTCTGGGTTACTGTAACTTTTCTGCCGCTGTAAAGTAATCTACCGTAACATTACCTAGTCACAGCGAGATATTTTGGTAGTGTTTTTTGCGTAAACTAAATTTTTGAAGATGGAGGAGATCCGAAGAGCCGAAGAGAGAAGCGAGAGAGAGAGAGAGAGAGAGAGAACGAGAGAGAGGATGGTAGTTCAGTTTCCGGTATCTTTATTACAGTAACCGTTCCTGGAAGTTCCTGAAATAAAGTAAAATCGTCCATGATTTTTTAATTGCTCGGAACAAATTTTGCTTCTCGTTCTCCATCGCTCTCTCGCATTGTCTCTTTCTCTCTCTTTCGCAATATCTTTAATTCTCTTTTTCTCCGGCAAATTTAGCGATCTTCGAGTTCTCGCTTTATCTCCCTCTCTCTCTCTCTCTCTCTCTCTCTCTCTCTCTCTCTCTCTCTCTCTCTCTCTCTCTCTCTCTCCATCCTAAACATCACAAAACCTAGGTCCCCTTCTATTCCCGTAAGTGTGGACAGCTCTCGAAAATCCGTGTTGATCTGTTTCCGTCTCTTTCCTACTTACCTTTAATGAGAAAAATCTCCAATTTCGGGTGGGGCCAGTCTAAAAATATGAATGACGGGATGATCCACCCGGATCCACCGGATGAGAGGGTCGAGAGGCTGGGCGACAGGGGGCTTAATGATGTTTGTGTTTTTGTACTCGCCCCGAAAAGTCGGCATTTCGTGGGTCTGGGGCGATTTATTGGCACGGTTGGGTCCATTTTTGGTTTGTGGGTGGGCTGATCTATCCGGAGGGGGCCCGGGGATTAGTAGTACAGCCCATCCCCCTAGATTCTCGGATCCCACCACCACCAATCATCACCCGTATGCAAAATACCCTGGTTTTTGAAGATTACAAGTGTCGGCTGATTTTTTAAGGGTTATTTTCTGGACAATTTAGGTTATGGAAGAGCCTAAAACTGTCGTAAATTTTTAAAGTTGTTTAAGCTTAAATCTCTCGACTTTTTCATTTGGTGGGCCGATTCTCGTGAGCTATCATACGCTCTCTCTAACTCGGGCGCTCTCGTTCTCTCTCTCTCTCTCTCTCTCTCTCTCTCTGTCTCTCTCTCTCTTACTTTTTTCTTTATCTCCCGCTCTTTCCTACTACCTCGTTCTCTAGCTGTATCTTTCCGCGTTGCTGCTGTTTTATTGAAAGAGAGAGCGAGAGAGCGAGTGAGCGAGGGAGGGAGAGAGATATCGAGGGAGAGAGATAGCGGGAGGGTGAGCGAGAGCGAGATAGAGTGATGAATGGAGAGGGAGTGAGAGCGAGAGAGCAAGAAAGACAGAGACATAGCCATCAAATTCTCGAATTGTCAAATTATTACATTTTTGCTACCTCGTTTTGCCAAAATTCCAATTAGGTTTCGGAAAAATTCTACAAAAACAAAAATTTTAGCAGTTATGAAATTATCACCTATACGAATTCATTCATCTGCAAATTTTCATCAGATTCTGTATAAAATTCCGGTTTTAAGAAGAAAAGATAGGGAAATTTTGGAATCGAGAGGTTTACAGATGATTTCATGAAAATTCGAGCTTTCAAAAAGCCTTTTAAAAAACTTGTTTTAGGTCGTTCTAAAATTCGGTTTGTACGAAAGGAATGCTATTTACCTAGTCACTTAGGGTCTTATTCGTTAGCGGGGGGGGAGAGTGGCCCATCCACCCCAATAAGCCTGTTGGGACTCCCCCGCTAGTGAACTAGTGCCCCCGAATTGGAGCCATAGTCAACTCGCTCTCGTTATTCAGCACCTTTTCCATCACCTATTACCGTATTGTCACCGCCTCCAAATCCGGACAGTCGAGTGAGAGATACCATAGATCAGCCACGTGTACCCATAATGCTAAAAGTATAAGGGGCGGATGCTATTTGTTGCCTCATCCGGGCAGAAGGGCAGATTCTGAAGGCGAGATGCCGTCATTTTTCTGAATCTGGCCATTCGGAGGAGGAGCCCCAGCAATGATCTGACGGCTTTTGTAGGCAAATCCGCCCCTCCTCCTCGCCGGTGCGGGGGTTGAGCCGGCGTGGGGCCCACGCGGCCACCACCATAGCTGCCGGTAGGGCCCATTTTTGGGGCCAGGCGATGACTTGGCCCCCAGCTTCAACTTGCTGTCATTGTTTGGATCGTAGAAATCTTAGACCTGTTTTTCCTGAAAAATCACTGCTGGTTGGCCATCGGCTTCTAGTCTGCTTAAATTTCCTGGATGATCTCTGCTGGCTTGCTTCGACAGGAAGGACTTTTCGAAAGTTCCGGGACTAAAACCCAACTAACCTTGCGAATCCCGATTTTGCGAGTTTCCTGAATGATCTTTGCTAGCCTGCCTTGGTTGGCAACGAAAATAAAGGCGCCTACCAGCTTAGATCTCAAAAATCTTGGCTAGCATGCCAACGCTATGACGGAAAAATGGAATTCCTACTCAATGCTCGCACTTTTTGCAATTTCCTAAATGGTCTCTGCTAGCCTACATTGCCCCTGGGGAAAAGGGCAAAATTCCAGACAATTCAACAATTCTTGAAATTCCTAAACAAACCTCTGCAAAATTGCCTCGTTAACATCCTGAAAATGGGTTATCAGCCACAGATCAGCGTTTAGTCTGAGATTACTAAAAATCTCTGCTAGCTTGCCTCGTTTTACCGTCAAAGCCAAGCAACATCCCACCTCTTCCGGCTGCCCAAATGATCTCTGCTAGCCAGCCACGTTTAGATATTAGCGTTCATAAATTATCTGTTCTGGCTTGCATTGAAAATTTATTAGCTAATTTTTAAATTTACAAAAGATTTAGTATTCCCGGCGCTTAACGGCATTTTCTGGTAATTCCGAACCGCTTCTTCCTATTTTCCGCAATCTTGTTGCTTTTTAACTCAAATCATTTCTTTTTCTTTTGTTTTATCAAGTGATCGCTGCTAGCCCGCCTGCCTATTTATTGTGTTCAATGCCAACGCATACTGCCTGATAGACCGGGTGTAAAAACGGTCCCATGGCCCGGTCTCACCTCCCAAAAAATGTCAAAACGGAAATGGCACCGACACCGGCACACACACCCCAACCGGGTGTCCGATTCGGGAGCCGAAGCGCGCGTGCCCGGGAGGCACATCATCGATGGTTCCCATTGGGTCCCGGCTGGAGAGAAATGTCGATGGAGAGAGAGAGCGAGAGAGAGAGAGAGAGAGAGAGAAAGGCTAAACAGCGACCCGCACGCTTACCCATTCGGCTCGCTTGCTAAGGGCAAAGAAGGAGAGAGGAGAAGAGGGAGGGTACGGTAGCTTTCCTCTGGCCAATGGGTTAGTGGGTATTAAATTGAATTAAAAATCCTCTGATTTGATCTGATCTTCGCTTCAATATCATCAGAAAATGTACTTAGCCAATTAAAAGTGAACTCCCGCCGCCTTGTCCGGGTGCTTTTTTGACCCGAAAAAACACCCCAAAAACGGCTACACCTGAGGGTTTGAGCTGATCGGCACGTCCAGTTGGGTGGCCCCTCTGTCTAATTGGTTACCGTTCTCCCCGCAGGTTGTGTTTTTTATTTTGCACCTGGGCGGCTGACTTCTAGGGCAAGTGCTCTTGGATGTGTGGCCATGATTTTGAATGTGGGAAAGATTCGCCTAGGGCTACTACTAGTGAATTTTTGAGGGTCTCTGAAAGCAGATTACTGCTTCAAAAGGAACGCTTAGATAGAGTTTTTGGTCGACTTTCAACTTGCTAAAAAATAATTTCAACACTGGTTCCGAGTAATCTCTCATTTTCTCTCGCTCGCTCTCTCTCTTTTTTCGCTCTCTCTCTCTCCCTCACTGTTTCGTTCTTTTTCTCGCTCATTCTCTCTCTCGCTCTCTCTGTCTCTCTCTGTCTCTCTCTCTCTCTCTCTCTCTCTCTCGCTCCCCTTTTGCTCTCTTTCTCGCGCTCTCTTTCTCGCTCTCTATCTCTCTCTATCTATCTATCTATCTCTCTCGCCCACCCACTTTCTCCACCAATGGCTCTTGCTCACTCTCTCGCTCCCGCTCTCTCTGGCCTTCGCAAAATTGCCTAATTTTTGACTTCACACCCCTTTAAACGGGAACGCCGCAATTTTTTATGGTTCCTTCCCCCCTGGCCTTCGGAGGTGGGGTGTTGATGGGGTGTTGGATGTTGCCATTCGGGAGGTGTCTGTATGTGGTGTTGTGTGTAGGGGAAGAGCAGAAAAGAGATGGCTCATCATCTTCTTCTTCTTCGCCTGCTCTGCACCCCTACTGGGCTCGTTTCGGCGGGGCCCGGTTTTCCCTGCACACCTATGTACGGAGGGGGAGTTACCGGTCCCTTTTGCCTCCTTTAAATTCATAATTTTGTGAAAAACAAATTTTATCGATTTATACCATTAATAATTTTGTTCTTCTACTAGAGATCATCATTTTAAGGCCTAAATACTATGCTCGTGGCTTATCATTTATGCACGATTATTTATTGATTTGAGAAAGTTAGATCCTATCGTTTGCTTTACTTCCTTTAAGGTGTCTAAACGCTAAAAATTTGTTCTCTCGCTCTCTTTCCTTTTCTCTCTCTCTCTATCTCTCTGTCTCTCGCACTATTTTTGACCCTCTCACTCTCTCTCGCTTGATCTCTTCTTATCTCTCCATTTCCCTTTCCGTCTCATAATTTGCAGAGCCTACCTCTCTCTTCTCTCTCCACCTACCATTAGTGCGTCTTTCCTCGTTACCAGATTCTAATTTTACTCATTCTTGTTTTTCACGTTCTTCCTTCCTCGTTCTCATCATTCTCAAGTGCCTACTACTACGTCGGATTTTGCAGCGCTCCCCGTGCAAACTTTCACTGGATTTCCACTCCTCATCATCCCCTTTTTGCTAAATTACGCTGTGCGGTGCGGCTGGCTACCGTATCCATTCGCCGGATGACCGTAAGCCTGCTGGCCCGCCCGACGAGCCTTGGCCCCGGGCTCTCCCTCTACCACCATCACTATCATCAGCACGAAGAGCCCATGCTACAGGGTACAAAAATGGAATTAAAGGGGCCGGGAAGGCATGGCTAGAGATTTGCCGCGTTGCGTGTCGCGGGTGCGGCGAAATCCACCGGGTTCCAAAGCCTTAAAAATCTATAGCTATGCCGTTGCGGCCCATTTAAAGGGGGAGTGACAGCTTGGATTCGGCGGGTTTCTGATTTAGTGTTTTTTAAATAGCCGAAACCTAAGCTAAGCCCCAGTCTAAGTTACCAATGACAAGGCTAAGCCGAGGTCCGGACCTAGTCTAGCCGAAGTCTAAGCCTAAGCCTAACTTAAGCGTGAGCTAAGCCAAACACCCTAGCCTAAATTACGCCTAAGCCAAGAAGCTGCTTCCTAAGCGAAGCCTAAGCTGAGAATAAGCTAAGCCGAGTTTGGCCCAAGCTAGGTCTAAGCAATTGAAGTCGCTAAAGCTAAGCCTAAACGAAACCTAAGCTAGGCTTAAGCCAAAGCCTAGACCTAACCTTAAACCTATCAACGATGACATAAACTTCAATAACTAAATTATAATTCTCCTCCTTTTCCAGACCTTCCCGCCACCTCGACTACTGCCTGCAACTCCCCTTACGACGAGGTGACGTGCGTCGGTTGCGGCTTCGAGATTCGGGACCGATTTATAATGAAGGTAAGCTATCTCGGCAGCTCTATCTACTAAAAAACTCGATTCTAGAGCAAGGAATTACATGTCGTAATCGGATATGAAAAATTACTAAATTGGGGGAGCTTTAAGGTGATGGACGAGTGCTGGCATGAGGCATGCTTGCGATGCTGTGCCTGCAGCCGTTCCCTAAGCTCGAGTACGAAATGCTTCGCGCGCGACGGACGGTTGTACTGTAAGGAGGACCATGCACAGTGAGTTATTAATTTCTGTTTTTCCTTGTTGATCAATTTATTTGCTTAAATCTTAATCTGATGTTCAGCTTGGGAATCTCGTAATAGGGAGCTTTTTAAAGGGTCAGGGATGCTAAAGCGTCCTAATCCCGGCTCACTCCTCTTGACGGCGGGTAGCTGTGCGTACTCTGCTTTCTATTGTCTGGATACTCTCGATCAGACAAGTTTTCATCACCTACGAAGGGCGTAGTAACGACGTAGTATTCCTGCGAAGAAGAAGACGGCTTTTTGCCGTTTCGCATTTAGCGCATTTTTCATCTTTTTATCACATTTTCACGCCTTCCTGGGCCAATTTTTATTTTATTATCCCTTAAAAGTTATTTTTGGCAATTTCCCCACCAAAAACCGTCTGGTTTTGCTTTCGTTTGGCGGTTTGCTCACCACCGCTCCGATGCTTTGGCTAGCGTTAATTTTGTTTCTGTTCCCCACCCCCGGCTTCAGCTACCAAAATATGGTACTAAACCGTAGCGCCCCTTTTTTGTAGTTTAAATATTTGGGATTTTGTTGTAAACATTTAAAACTGGTTGCGGGCATATATTTTGGGGGCTTATGGCCGGTTAGTCATAGCGTTCGGGACGCCGAGGAGCAGGGCAGACGGGAAGACGTTTTACTGTGAATCATGATGTTCCAGCAGAAATGGGGCAGTGGAGTAGTCGAATTTTGGAAGCAAAAATAAGGGATATTTTGTAAAAAACCGACAAACGGGGAAACAGCTGAATTTTCGTCTTCTTGGTGTCTTTAGCCTTCTCTCTCTCTCTCTCTCTCTCTTTCTCTCTCTCCTGCCACCCACTTGGCTAATTCGCAAGCCTCCCCTCCCCGCCCCAGGCATCGCGTGACCCCATGGTCCCACCGGCTTAAACGGCTTGAAGTTGGTTGAAGCTGGGGCCTCGAGAATCCTTCACACAATCACCCTAAATACATCCTTGTCTACACAAGGGTTGGCAAGAAGAGGCCACCTTGTCAATGCCCCAAACCGGATTCGGGGGGAATTGGAGTTTTTCCAGGAAATCAGGGGCCAGGAAGATTTCGGAAAACGCTAGTAAATCGGGATTAAAATGAAAGCGATCCGAAAGTAGCTCTAAAGCTTTTTTTTACTTGATTTTGACGCTATTCCTATTCGAAAAGATTTGAATCTTTCGCTTTCGATCCTTTTCTAGCGGCTTTCAACAAGATTCCGGCATCAGATATCAGAAATGCTGTGAAAAACGGGCTAGAGAAACGGGTGGCAGGTGGAAAGATAGAAGAAAACTGACTAGAAAAAGCGGATCTTTGGATTGGGAGGACAGATGGTCATTGGCGGGTGCATAAGTAAACGACACCTCGCAATGACGGAATGCGGAACGGGAAAATTGAATTTCGGATTTAAAGGGACCAAGAAGTGCGAGAATCGATGTGTTAGGTGGCTAAATTTAACGTGTTTAGCTTCCTTTCGAGGGCCCGAAGAGTTGTTAAGTTTCAAAAAACCCAACTACACGTAAATCCGTCTCTTAAAGGTACGCGTAGTTGCCTAGACCTAGCTGCTAGAGGGGGTTGGGCGCTTCATGGACCCTTTAATTATTTGAGAAAAGTTTCCTCCAAAAATTCAGGCCCATCTTTAGATTCCTGCTCCCAATTCCAAGTCTTTTCTCACGCCAATCAAGGCTACAAGCCGACTAGCCCTTCCCCGGATATAAGATTTTGTTTTTCAGCTACCCCCATTTGGGGGTGTAATGTGGAAAGTGACGGAACTGTCCATTTCTTGCCCATCCTGCGTTGTCCCATTGATGCGAATGTGCGCGAGCCCCGGGGGTGATTGCGCAATGCAGCTGGCCCACACCCCGGGGGGCTGTCACTTAAAGGGACATTCAAGCGAGAGGAGGGAGGCTCATCATAAACAAATCAACTTCGATTTACTGGTAGATGAAGGAGGAAAAAACCAAAAGCCGGAAATCGTTAGGGATTTAATCGGAAAATTAGAATTTGATTTGGCCAACCCGAAAATTATGATGTAAATTCGCTGATTTTCATAGCGTAAGCGAATAGTCTATCAAATCACGGTAAAGCGTAGTGTATCCCAATATGCTCCAAAGTAGCACCGTAACGAAACGTACCCCTGCGGCGGTCTGCGTGACGTACGGTAAAGTCGAACCGCTGCCTCATCAGGTAGCGTCGTGGCCTAGCGTATCGGGCCATAACCTTGGTTACTCTACCGTAGCTGATACCCCGTAGTGTCGCATGACGTGCTATCCCGCGTATCGTAGACGAGCGTCGCCCAAGGGCACTGGATTTTGCGTAACTTTCCCAAGGCGGCGTACCTTAGGCATTGCAGCCCGACGTAAAGTAGTAGAGTACACTATCATGAAAGTGTCGTTGCGAACGTAGCGCATCGTGGCGTACCGTAGCGTATCGTAGGGTCACGTATCGTAGCCTATCGTAGCGTATCGTAGCTTATGTAGCGCTGGGTAGAGTCTCGTATGGTACGTTGTGTCTCCTAGCGTATCATGCCGTACGTAACATAACATAGCTTCGCGAGTCGAGCGTATTTCATCGTACTCGCCCCTTGTAAATAGGTAGCTAAGCGTAGTGTATCATCTCAAGATTTGACCGTGCTACGGTAGTGGAATAGAGCCATTTTCTACTTCCCTTTTGTCACCTTTCATACAGTAATCCTTGTTTTTAAACACATGCCTAATTGCTGTCCTTTTTCGCGCGCTTTTATTGGATTATCGGGGCTTCCTGGGCGGCCAAGTTCGATCGGTGACTCGGCATTAATGACAGGGCCGTCTGGCAGCTACTCCCAACTACCAGATATTACTATGGACATCATGGGTGTGTCTCTCGTTCTGTGGGATAGTTGGCTAATCTCTCCCATCCCCCCCATCAAATGCAATAATTATTGGCTTATATTGGCGGTGGGGAGGTCGGCGGGCTTCACAAGGGCTTCACACCTTCCAGCCCATTCTTATGCCCAAGGAGTGCCGAACATTTGGTGGTGTGGAGAGGAGTTGTGGTACGGAAAGTGGGGACCGGGAATTTTCAAAAAATTGGAATTTATTGAAAAAAAGTGATCCGATCGATAAAATTGAACTGTTACGACTTTTTAAGGCACACCAAGGGGTGAATTCCATGCCTGATAATCGGTTTTTTTTTTTTAGAAATTTCCGCCAACGCCTAAAAAATGACATTTTTTTGGATGTTCATGAAGGGTAGAATTCCACGTTTAATGTTCAGTTTTGTATATAAATTGTCTGATATTTCACCAGTGGAAAAAGACCGCTTCGCGGCCATTTTCCACTGGGCCCCGTCCAGAAATCATGAATTTGAATACCTTCTTTTTTTAGCCTGCGGCGCAAGAACCTAAGTAATGACGCCATTCATTGGCCTGCGGCGCTAGAACCGCCGTTCCGCTAGAACCTTTGAGCCTGCGGCGCTAGAGCGAGAGCCAGGCCTAAACCTCACACACCGAGAGCCTAGAAATAAGCTTTGTTGCTAAACTACCAAAAAGCAAAAAGCTGTATTTGCCCAGGATCCGAACCCACGACCATTCGGGTGGTAGGCCAGTCGCAATTCCACTACACCACGGGGGAGATGGGGACAGGCGGCCGCAAAGCCCTCTTCTGTTCCGGGGAGCCGGCAGGCGGCACAGAAAAGGCCGACCCAATGCCCCGAGCGGATGCCTTCCGGTCACTTTACAAAATTAAGTTTTTGAGCCTGAATCTGCAGAAAATTTGCAAAGATAATAAGATGCGCGTGATCCCCACTATCGAATACATAAGCGGTCCAAATTTCAGCCCGAAATCCCAAATGCGAATCGAGTTATGGCCCGAACACCACGGCTCGTCGCCAATTTTGTTAAGGATTTTTACTATTTTGCTTGTAAAATTGTTAAATGGAGGAATTACGAAAAACAAAAAAATGCGTGTCTGGCAAATGTGTTTATCCACCTTCATGCCGAAAATCAGCACGAAATTCGGCCTGACGGCCGAGAAATCGTCATTACAGAAAACAAACATACTTTTCTCGCTTATATGATAGGATAGTAGTCGTCGTTTCTCTTATATTGTTAAAGCTTCAAGGAAAAGGCGAAATTCTACATTATTTCCGGCCATTTGCAACAAGTGAGTCCTTATTTTTGATCGCCGCAGGAGCAGCGGTTTGTCTTCCAATTTTGTCCACAGCTACAGTACGCAGAGTCTTTGAAAAGAAATTCAAAAGGTGTTTTAAAAGCCACCTAAAACCAAAAAAAAATTTGCAAATTTTGCAAAAACGTCCAGACGGTTCTTGACGAAGTTTTCAACGATTATGGGTATCTTGAGCCGGTAATCTTCAGCATACGCTAAGTAGAGCTATTTTGTAAGCATTCGTATCGTTTGCAGGATTTTCAGCTTTTTGAAAATATGGAAACTAAGGATTTTCAAGCCCTTCAAACCACTCGCTTGGAACCAATTTCTAGTAATTTCAATGTTTCTCGTTAACTACTTTTTAAATAGCTCGAAATCGTAAAAAAATCGATACCGCAACGGTCTAAAATACCCGTCTAAGGATCCAGTCATGCTCCCAGCCAGCCGGCTACCGTATTTCTTGGGGTCCTAGGCTCGAAGACGTGGAGGAGAAGAAGAAGAGAAGACGTAGCCCCGCGCCGTATATGTGTATTTGCCCTGGGGCGATGCTGCTGCGGGGAGGATGGTGGCAAAATTGCCCATTTCAAGGAGCGCCATCTATCCCTCGTTCTCTCTTCCAGGAGCGTGAAGCCGATGGCAAACATTCCGCGATTTAGGGGGCCAATAGGCAAAGAGGAGGAAGAGGAGGACCTGTAGATATGGAGGGGGCAGCTGCCAGCTGGACGTAGCCCGCTGGGTCGGTATTTGCTAACCGGAAATGATGAGGGGGAAAGGGGTTGAGAAAAATTAAAAATGGAAGAAGGATCAAAGGCATAGAAATTTTTATTACAAACACGTATTTCCCCAAAGGATCTCTGCTAGACGCCCGCTAGAGTTCAGTCTCTTCTAGCCTGAGTTCAAGCTCGGTTTCGTAAAAAATTTCTGCAAGCTGCCGCCGTGGCCCGGCGAATAGCTTTCCAGCTCTAGCTTTCCACTCCTTTAACTGTCTTAATCGGCAGAAGTTTTGGTCCAATTGCCGCAAATACTCTCTGCTACATAGCTTTCGAGCTTCTAGCTTTGCGGGCCTTTTAAAGCAATAATCAACTTTAGAATAAATTCACATGAAAAATGATAAAAAATGCTGATGAAACTCTAGATGGGGCAAGTCCTTTTAAATTTCTCAAGGAATCTCCGCTAGCTTGCCTCCTAGACCTTCAGTTGCCGGTGCCTTTACACACCTGAAAAATTACACCTTGAGCAATTATCCCAAAAATCCCTGCTTGCTACCCTCATAAAATCGGCGTCCGACTCCCTTTAAACCATGCAGGACCAGGTTTGGAAAAATCTCTGCTAGATAGCATTCCAGCTATTTTTGGGTTCTGCGATCCATTAGCGCTCCTTAAATTCTTGGTTTCTTACAGAAATATTCTCAAAGAATCTTCGCTAGATAGCCTTCCAGCTTTTGGGGTCACGGTCCCATTCACGTACCCAAAAATCCTACCTTATATAATTTTGGAGTGTATGTGTGTGTGTGTGTGAGGATGTCACTTTCGAGGCCCGATTTGAGGGCCTTCCTGTGTCCACAACGCCCTAATTCTTCGTCACTTGGGGGAATCGACCCTTCTGTTTCCGATGGCGTTTTCAGAATTTCGATAAAATACAAGTTTACAAAGTTAAAGGCGGTTTTATTCATTTTGGGGGGTACCTGAAGGCTAATTTGCATAATGCGAAAAATCCAAATTCCTCATTCTTGCCAGTTGCACTCGCGCGTGTGGTCGGGGCGGGGGAGGGTCCGCAGGACCCGAGCTATCAGAAAGTCAAACTTTTCATGCAAGGCCGCATTCCAGCGCCCAAGGCCCGCGAAGCGGGTTTTGGGCGCTGGTCCTAGAATAAATAATTTTCTCAAAAAATCGCAGCTAGACAGCCATCAAGCTTTTATGTCCCGGGCCCCCTTAATCCTCCCCTTCAAGTATCATCTACCAGCCAGTCCTCAAACAGCCCGGAACCAGCTTCTTCAACCCATTTTCTAAAGCTTCAAAGCGCCAGTCACCAGCTGACCCTTGCTACCGCCCAGATACGATACCCTTTGCCCCCCCCCCCCCATCAATGGCCCTTGAAGTGGGCCCTGTATTGGGCGGAAGGTGGGGTGTTGGGGGCCATGTATCCTGGGGGCAATAAGGGAGCAAGGACGCGATGCTCCTATGGCCACCCCCTCTCCCCCCAGGGGGAAGGGGGATGGCGGATATTGCGCCCTCTTGTCAACCGTCTATCACATCCACCTGCCTATGGGCTATACCCCTATCCGCCCCTCGAGAAGCATGCCCTTCCCGAAGGATTGGGGGGGATTTACCCAAAATTAGAATTTGGGGGTCCCGGGATTAGTAGCTGGCTGGAACCTAAGTGAGCTTAAGGAGAGTGAGCCCTAAGGGTAGAAATTTGATAGAGTAATGTATTCGCTATAGGTCGAACGCTTGTAAAACTGCCAAACGGGCAACTGTAAAACCAAAAAACCTCACAATGACTGCTCCTCAACGTCGTATTTCGGTCTGCTGCGTAGTTGTCAAGACCAAGTGATACCAGGGGGTATTCTAAAGTTTTCCAGTCCCTTTAAAACCGCACTCCGTACTGAACTTTTCGACAAGGGCATACGTACCGTAGTAGAAAACTGGCATGAATACTGTATATTTTCCGCCACATTTTTGGAAAGAACAGTCCGCCAGTCGGCAACCTATCTGGTACTACGAAAATACAACTTTTTGACATGAATCCTGAGCCGCTTCCGGCCACCTGGACATATCTTGTGCCCCAGGACACGGGCTTGACCGCTCTATGATTATCCGGGGCTGAGGGCGGATTATTGTCATGTACGAGTCGATCCTATCCCCACTGCCCCGGATCAGTGGTGTCGATAGGTGCGTCGTGGAGGGGCAGCCGTTGGGCAAGAACAAGGCCCTCGAGGCAATCCAGGCGCGCCACTTCGGGATTACGGCTTCCCGCAGTTTTGAATACGATAGAACCCCAAAAATCAGCAACTGGGGGCAAGAAAAATCGGGAAACTATAGAACCGCAAATTGTGTACTTTGGGATTTAACAGAGAAGGTTGTTGAGGCGCTGAGTGAAAGAAAGCGAGAGATGCAGAGAATAATTCTTATTTCAGAATCTTCGGCCAAAAATGCTCGCGCTGCACGCTGCCGCTGCACTCGACGGAGATGGTGTTCCGCTCCAGAACCGGCGCCTATCACCCGCAGTGCTTTCGGTGTTTGCACTGTAGCAAGGAGCTGCAAACGGTTGGTCTTCTAATTCAAGTCGTTAAAAATGTAACGTAGCGTAGTTCTTCGGCTTAGCTGCCAGTTTTGGTCTGTTTTGGAATACCGTAACCACCGAAATTTATGGGCGTAATTTTAGGGCGACAAATACGTGAACGTGGAGAATCAACTGTTTTGCTTTGAAGACTACCAAGCACTTGTCTTCCAAAATCAATTAGCATCTGGTAAGTCGTGAAGGGTAATAGCATAGTACGTAACGTAGCGTAGTGTAGCATGACGAGAAGTATCTTGACGTAGTCTATCGCAGCGTTTCGTAGCCAATCCTAAGCAACGTCACGTCTTTCTGTAGCAAATCGTAGTTCGTATCGCCCGATCCCGCAGCGTAGCGCGTCGTAGCTTACAATTAACGCATCATATGAACACACATTGCATCGTGGCGTATCGTAAGGTATTTTACCGTATCCACCATATCGCTGGTATGGAAACGCAACGTATGGTATCTTATAGTGTCGTAACGGAGCATGGTATATGAAATCAGTCGCTTTTTTATAGCTTAACATAATAAATGGAAAATCTGCTATTTCAGGCCTTCAAATCGAGTTCTACGAGCAAAACGACTCAAACAGAAAAACGCCAAAGCGGCCAAGGACCATCCTGAATGCAGTGCAACGGAAACAGTTTAAGGCGGCTTTTGAGAAAAGCTCAAAACCATGTAGGAAGGTAGGAATAAAAAAAAACAGTACTGATCCCAGCCATTAAAGCTAACTAAAAGTATATTAACATCGCTTAAACACCAAATTTTTAGGTCCGCGAGCAACTGGCCAAAGAAACCGGCCTCAGCGTGCGCGTCGTCCAAGTCTGGTTCCAGAACCAACGAGCAAAGGTCAGAAAGGTTTTTGAGTCTCAAAAACTGTAATTTACAATTTCCAGATCAAGAAAATGTCGCGGAAAGAGGGGGATAAGATTGGGCAATGCGGGGACTCGGAGGGGAAATCGATTGAGGATCAGAAGAGTGACAGCGATGATGGTAGGGGAATCAGGATCGTTTTAAAGCGGCTAGACAAGGCATGGCACCGAATTTTTCTCCATATGGATCCCTATGGATTTTACCGCGATACGCAACGCGCGTGCCAGTGGTCTCCCCTTTATGATCATATTCGATTCCGCCATGAAAGGGTGAGCGCGAGTTGCGTGTCGCGCCATGCGGCAAAATCCCTAGGCCTCGCTCGGCATAGCTTTACCGTTCTTTTAAATGGACAGACAAGGCATACCCATGGGCTTCACTGGTCACCGGTTCATCGCATTCTTGTCGCGACACGCAACGCGTCAAACGCTGGAAAAGGCCGGTGGACGCGTTGCGTGTCGCGTGGCTGTAGCAGCCATAGGATTCAATAGCGATACCTATACCGTTCTTTTAAAGGGACGGACAAGGTATATCCATGCGTTTTCTTTGCTATGGTTCATAAGATCCTTGTCGCGACACGCAACGAGCGTCGCGGGGCGGTCAGATCTATAACCTTGCCTTGCGCGTCCCTTTAAGAGAAATATAAACTACAAAATTTATACCTAAACGATATATTCATTTCCCAATTTTAGATTCCGAAACGGAAACCTGCCATTCTGGGATGACAAACACTGCCGAATCAGCCCACATCCACCGGCCCGAGCCGCAATTCCCGGACCATTTGAGCCGACTCTACGAGATGCAGAGCACCTATTTCCAATTTGGATAAAAATCGTAATTTATATAATATTTTTCAAGGAATTTTTTGGAATCTCTGTTTTCCATTTTTATTCTCTATTTCCTGTACACGTTTCAAAAACCATTTTTTAAAGTTTTTCAGCCCGCTTTTTTCTGCCTTACCCCTGGGATCTATCGTATTTTCCCCGCGTAGTTAGAGCCGACGTCCGTTGTGTTGCCCCCCTCAAAATCCCTGTCAAAGCATTTTGTGCAATTCATCGTTTATAATTGTACTTTGCATATTATTTTTGGCCATACTATTTTCACGTTTGTTTATTTGTGCATTCTGTGGCAAGTCCTTCTCTTTCTGGTCACTTCATTTTTTTGTTTTCATGGTTGTACTATATTATTTAATGGCTTTGCTAAGGGTTTTTGGGCAACTTTGGGAAATCAAGCTTTAATTATTTGCATTTAAATTTTAAATTTGAAGCACATTAAAGCGACGGCGCAGTTAGACAGCTCAACGGAACCGATTTCGCAAAGTTAACTAACGATTTTGGTTAGCATAGCGTAATCGGTTCCTTTAAGCTGTCTAGGGTTGATCTGCCGTTTTCCCAGCTGGCACTTTTCCTTTAAGCCCGCAAGGTTAAAGCGAAAATGTACGAAAAATCAAAAAATTTTATAATAAAACTATCAAAATTAATACTAATCAAAACTGGTTACGCAACGAAAACTTGCGAGAATTCGCTTTTTACTGGGCTCTCCCTTAAAACCTTAAAAAGACACGTTTACCAAAAGCGTACTTGCCAAAGTACGCCCCGCTCCTTCAGACCCTAAAAAACACGCGCACGGAGCAGCCCAGCCATGTTCCTGCATGTCGGAGCAGCCAAATTTTCCGGCAGGACGCGGCTTGCGATTCCGGGCAACTATCTAGGCCGTTTAAATTAGTAGAAAACTAAAAACGTACTTTCCAAAGTACGCCTCGCTCCTCTAGAGGCGTCCCAAAAAACGCGCGCACCTGTTTTTTGCGTGTCGGAGCAGCCAAATTTTCCGGCAAAACGCGGCTTGCGATACTTTTCGTGATCCTCCTGCTCTCGGCTATCATCTATTTGTTTGGACCAGACGGTTCTGTCAGTTCATTCCCTGCCCGGCTATACTCTTTCCGGGGAAACTCTGTTGTTTTGACGGAAACCGCGGCAGGCCGGGGATTTTCCATCCCGGCTAGCTCGGCCCGAAAAATGGCTGCCCAAGAAGGGGAAAGCGGCCCGCGCGCGCCCAGAAAAACACGGCAAGTTCCGCGACGCGCCAATGAACGGTTTGGCGGGTATATCGTTTTGAGGCCCCTTGGAAATTGATGGGATTAAAAAGTGGTCAAAATTTTGCCTAATTGTTTTTTGGACAAATTAAAATTTTAAAAATTATGAAATTGAAAGCTAATTTGGTTTTATGCACGTTTAACCTTAACTAATTACCGATACCAAGTTTTCAATATTAATTGAAAATCGATAGAAATTTATATAAACATAATAGATTTATATAAATTGGGGTTAACCGAAAGTTAAAGCCTAATTTTAGCGGTAAGTCCGCTATTTTCAAAGCGTATTAAAACGTATCGTTTATGTTTAAAAATAGCTATCTTAAACTTTTAAATGCTTAAGTTTAGCTTATGAAAAATTATTATTATCCAATGTCCCAAACTTCCAAACCCGAAAAAGTCATTTTTTTTCCATTATCAAATGCCATTCCAAATCGTCGCTTGCTTACCCAAGGTTTTTCACAATTTTACGTATTTTACCTACGAACAGTTTGATTGGCGTAATTTGGTGTAATTCGTTCTGTTTGTACTTCCGCTGGCATTTTTATAATCTGCTTTTTCTGTCTACTATTTGCTGGAGTTCATGGGTATAATAAAGGTTTATTCTCGGAGCAGGTTTTAAGAAACATAAAACACGATAAAAATCGATAAACTGAAGTGAGAGGCGGAAACTGAATTTGGAAAAGGCCAATTTTCAAGTGATTACTTTCGGGATTTTCATGATTTATAGGCAGTTTAATCGTCAAATTTTTAGATTTTAAGGCTGCTAGTAAAACTAATTAAAAAAATTAACAATCCGTATAAATTCACAAAATTCTCATTTTTTTGCTTTAGTGTGTACTAACCATTCGAATCGCAAAAACCCCGTTTCTGGAGTTAAAAATCAAAAACCTTTTTTATTTTTCTATCCTACTATATATAAAAAAATAGTGTCTGTATGTGTGTGTGCATTTGCATGCAACTTCCGTGAGGATGTTCCGCACCTACAGCCTCAGGGAAGAATTTTTTCGATTGGGCAGAGACGTCATTAGATAAAGAAGGGTCCGGAATCGACTGCACGCACATAAAATCTTTGAAAAATTGCTATTTTCGCTATTAAAAACAAGTTTTTGTAAAATTCTCGCCCACCCTCTTTGTTAGGGATCAATTAGCATAAGCCGGAAGTGGGACAGCCTATATAAAACGACAGAGGAGCCGTTTTTGCACTTTTTTCCTGATAGATTTCAGGGAAGAATCATGCAAATTGAAGCCTTTCATCGGTCCTAGGCGGGGCCAGGGTTGAAAAGCCGCGAAGCGGTTTTTCAACCCTGGTATATACTAGTTTCCGTGGCTATTTCGCACACATCTATAAAATTATCCAAATTATTGGTTTTCGTTTGGTTTGTTTTTTATTTATTGTTTGAAGTCAAGACTCCCAAAGAAACACCACTTTTTCAGGCAGCCATCAGGCGCCAACCCGGCCGGGGGACCAGTCTCGGTTGCATAATTGCCCTGGTGGGCATCCCCCGCAACGAGACCAGTCCATTTACGCCATCCACTCGGGGGGTCGAAGGCCGATTTCGTGGTCATTCCCTTCAAAACTCAAGCTATTGAACTTCAGTCGACTTCAAAAACTCGTAAAAGTCCCAAGCCGACTTGAAAACGCAAAAAAAATTCCGAAGCTCAAGGCCAAGCCCAAAAAATGAAGACCCCAAGCGTGGCCCGCCTATTCTTCTACACATTTCTATTATTGGTACTCCGAAAAATAGGGATTGCGTTATTTTCGATGTCTACGGTATTTCGGCACGGGAGTACCGTATCCGAGGAGGCGTTGGTGGGTAAAATTGTTGATATTTTGCCTGTAAAGGTTAGGAAATGCTAAAGAAAAGCAGAAGCATAAAAAAGCCTGCTTTTGATGTTTGTAGGAAGCTAGAAAACGCGAAATCATTCAAACAATTACATTATCTTCGTTTTAAAGGGCTGGAGAAAGATGGGCCGGCGTCCGTCGGGGTGACGGACCGCCGCGGCGCTACCATCGACGCTTTCCCTCGCGTAAGCGCCCCCAAAACCCCCTCTCGCGTTTGAAGAAACCAGTTTGTTGGCTATAACTTTTTTCATTTAGCAATGTTTTCAACTAAAAATTTCCTGAAACCAAGGACTTGGTGATACGCATCGATGGTAAAAATTTGAGCTGGATTGGATAGAAGGCGGCCAAGTTCTGGGCGATTCGGGGTTTTGGGACACTGTTTTGGCTGAAAAAGAGGCGCATAGACAGCAAAACATCTCTAGAAAGGTGCAAAGTACGTTGCTATCCTTTGGCAAGGTTTTCTACAACATTTTTTAGCTATTATCACCATGAAATTGCTTTATTTCTAATGGCAGTTCTTATACAGGTGGCAATGCGCCCTAGGGTATGTGGGGGCCCTCCGCCGCACCGCCCCACTCGACTCTCTGGTGTACTGGCTAGCGCATCGGACTGCGGGGCGGACCATCCCTGGTTCGACCCCCGTCCGGTGCGACCCTCTTTGCTCCTTCAGCGATTCCATCTTTCTCCAGCCCTTTAAAGGAGCTTGGAAGGCACATGAAGACATTTTTCGCTATAGCAACTAGTTAAATTGGAGAATTTTGCGTTTTATACCTCGGTTGAAAATGCTCCAATGCAGGTAGCAATATCGAAAATCTATGCTTAAAAATTAAGAAATCCTAAAATTCACAAAAACCTAGCCTTCCAAGTTCCTTTAGAGGGGTTAGCAAGCGGCAGAATCTACCCTTGTTTCGACTTGGCCTCGAAAAACCCAAGCATCAGTTCAGAACCGATAGAGCCCGCTTCCAGTTAACCGCAGCGCTAATTTTCTGCGTTTTTTGGCACGTCGCGTAACTTGTCAATAGGTAGTGATAGAAGGGGTCGATTTGGATGCTTCCCAACCCCTTTAAAATAAATATTCAGCTGAAAAACCCTGAATTCCTATCGATACTTCCGCGGCTCGGCAACGACACCTACGTGCTGTTTTTGAATCGCTACGCGCTCGACATGACGTTCAACTGGTTGTGCAACACGAGGGAGATGGAAGGTAAATGGTTTTCCTTGAATTTTGTAGGTATATTGTAAAATTAGTTTAAAGTTTGTAGTTTTTGTAAACGGTTGTAGTTTGTAGCCGTACGCTGTCAAAACGAAAAATGTGTCTTCAACGGCCCGTGAAATTCAAATTCTCGATACTTCCAGGTGTACATCAACGAGCCCTGTTCCTCACCATGGACCAGGAATCGACCGAAAAATTGAGGCACCTCTACCCCGAGCTGAAAATCGCTCGCCTTAATGTTCCAGCGTTGGAGGTAAGCGTTTATGGGTTTAATTTTCTAGCGTAATTTAATTTTCTGGCTTCCCAGCTCCGTTAAACGTTGGTCTTGCAGTTTTACAACCGTACGATAACCTTATTTATATAGAAAGGTGTAGAATATACTTGAAATTCTAAAACTCGGAAGCGTTTCTGGGAATTCTGGTAGACTGTATCGAGCCCGCTCTATAAACGGATCTAAAAAGACCAACAAAATCCAAGTCATGCCTTGTCGGCTCTTTGAAACTTCTTTAAACCACGGTGAAAATCTTCTCAGGACCCCTTCAACTACGGCGACGGTCCCTATCAGCTCTTCTACCTGCTCAGGGCCAACGTTGCGTTGACGCTGGCCAAATTCGGGCACAACTTTTGGATGATACAACAGGTAAACTAAAATGTTTGAAAAAGTAAACAAAAACATCTTAGGACACATTTTGGCGTACGCCACTCGCACAGACAATGTTGGAAAGTGAGCAGTTGCAAAAAGCCGACATCGTCTTCGATTCGGCCGGCACGAACACGAGCGATTTGATTGCAGGTACGGGAGAGAGAGAGAGAGAGAGAGAGAGAGAGAGGGAGGGAGAGAGAGAGAGAGAGAGAGAGAGAGAGAGAGAGAGAGAGAGAGATAGAGAGAGCAAGGGGAAGAGCAAGAGAGTGGGAAAGAGTAGGAGAGAGCGAGAGAAAGGGGGAGATAGAGACAGAGTGTGAGAGAGAGTGGGAGAGAGGGCAAGGGAGAGAAAGAAAGAGAGAGGGCAAGAGAGAGAGAGAAAGAGAGAGAGAGAGAGAGAGAGAGAGAGAGAGAGAGCGTAGCATGAGAAATTGTTTACAGGCGGGTATTACTACGCTCGATCCACGCCAAAAACCGTCGACTACTTCGAAAAGCTGGTCCGGGATCTTAGCTGGTGGTACGCGCCAGACAACGGCTACATGACGTATCTTTGCTATCGACAGTTTGCCGACTGCGTGAATATGCCGTTTAGGTAAAGCATCACTCTTAATTAATGTTATCCTTTCAAAATGATGAAAAATTGGTAAATGAGTGAAAGGGGAATTCAGCTGCGTTAGAAATCCCCAAATCCAATTTTCTAAAAGCAATTTTTTTGCAGTTGGATCACAAATTGGCAGTGGATGCTCTACCCTACTTCTCAAGTTCCGCACCTTGTCCAATTTGACGGCTACACGCGGCTTGGCGGGAAGTTGGCAGCGGTACGTTTCCGAACAAAAAATTCAAAATGAACAAGTTGCGAGCCCTGAAAAAAAAATAATTTGTAGCTATAGCGGAACTTTTTGTGGTTTTTTGTTGGTTAATGGTTGCAAAACAGTAATAATATATATGAAGCCAAAGATTACGCTACTTAGATGAAGCAGATGGGCTTCCACTTCATGGACGCCGAGACGAAGATGTGCAACGCGAGCGCCGTTACGGTAGGAGACTTACGTGAAACCTTAATGAATTCAAGCCATAAAAAGGTCGCTAGGGCGTCATGCGGATCGTAATGTACATTACGTAATTTTAGGCCGCTCAAAGCATGGTGGCCCAGGGGTTACGGCCGAAGCTGGTGATCGAAAGCGGCCACGCTCAATTCGCCACCTACTCGCGGTTGATCGAGATTTTCCAGTCGAACTCGGCGCTCGCGTGGTTGTTGTACAATTTTTGCCTGCCCTTTGGGCACTATGTGATGTTGACAATGTAGAAGAGAAACCGATTTTGATGGCTAAAGCTCGAATTTTGATTCACTGGCTCCTCGCTAGTCAAAAAATGGCAGAAATTTCACTACAGTCCCTGTACAGTCTGGCTAGGAAAATTCGAAAACGCTAGAACGTTGTATTTTTTGTCTTTCTATTCATTTTTAGAGCAGAAAGCCCCTTTGCACTTGTCCGGGTATCATAAAAAACTGCCACTATCGCGTTGTTAATAATACACGAGTTATTTGCTTTTCACTTGTAAGTCTTACTTATATTTAAAGCAAAAAAAAAACTTTAAAAAAGGTTCTAAAAATGTTTTTAAAATGGAGACTTTGGTCATTTCAAAAAAAAAATTTCGGCCTAAAATTCAATTTTTGATAAAAGCTTGTAAAGTTTTTACGTTAAGAAATGGCTAAAAAGTATTTTCCAGCACTTGAATAGCTCCATCAATCTAGGCAAATGCCAAATTATGAAAACACCGTGTAGACACGAACCATTTATTCCAATGCGAGGCACAGAGCCAAACCCGGCGGGATAGTCACCAAAGGCACACATTCACACATAGAAACAAAAAAAGCCCTTGGACGGGTAGCGAGTTCGAGTACATAGACATAGCTAAACGGCGCGGGGGGCGGGGGGTTCATGCGGTCAGTCGGCGTTCTCCGATCATTTCGCCATTCCCACAGCCCGCATTTTCTCATCGTAGTCGTTGCCCATGGCACGGATAGCCTCAGGGTCAATGCCAGGAACGAAGCCGCCCTGAAATTAAGGGAAGAATGCATATAACACCATAGATAGAAGCATTTTTGCCTAACAAGGACATGTTTTTGTTTGACCTCCCGGTTTTGAGCAAGAGCAAACCTATCTTGCGCAGCATTTTGCGCAAATATTCCTTTGAAAGTATAGCAAGATTTACGTGGAATTTGATTGAGAATGACGAAGTTCTTTCCCCCCATATTGAAAAATAATCCCATCTTTATCGCATTTTACACAGTCCTTGGCCACAAAAAGTTTCATAAAAAATTATCAAATTTTTTTCGAAAATTGTTGATTTTTAAATTAATAAATGAAAAATCTCAAAAAGTGTAAAGATTGCGATTTTGTAAATATTTTTTAAATATTTCGATAATCTGCTAGCAATCAAAAATAACTAAAAACATTGTAAGAATACAAGAATGATGATCAAAAGGTAGGTATAATATAGGCGGCAAATGAAGAATTCGGAATTATTCCCGAGAAAAGACCAAAAGACACTATATGGTCTTTGCACAGCACATTGAGTAAATCCTACAAAATTTTGACGACGAGTGGTATGATTCGGATGCCTATTCGATCATACTTACCCGGTAGAACAAGTCCACAAGATGCATGCATAGGAAGAAGAACTGTTCCAGGCTCTGCACCGCGTTGGCCCTTTGCTCTCGCAGCTCCTTGAGAAGTGCTTCGATGTCATCGCATCGCTAAAAAAGTGGCAGGAGTCTCACTCAGTTCATCGGGGCAGACCCAATTCCTAAAAGCCCGAAAAGTCCAGGAATGCCTAGCTGGTAACTACAGGGTGTCCCAAAAAAAACCCCCTCTAGCGGCGAGCAGTCGTGTCCGATTTTGATTGTTTAGGTATCTATTGAAAGCTCTTGAAAAGGCGAGAAAACAAGGAGGGTTCATTTTCTTTATTATCTATTTTTATTAGCAAATTTTACGTCCAAAAACCATGAAAACGGTAGATTTACGCGAGATCTGCATGCTAATCGCGAAATTCCTATTGAAAATCTACCTGTTTTTTAGAAAAACGTTGAATATCCAGCGTATAAAAATAAATCCCGCTTGTTTTCTCGCCTTTCCGAGAGCTTTCGATTGGTATAAAAATCATTCCGATCCGATCCGATTGACGGCCTCTAGGGGGGGGGGGGGGTTGGGACACCCTGTATATGCAGCGTTTTTAATAAAGTTCTAATAGGTTAACAGCGGGCAGACTAGTGTTTTTGCATCAATAATCGCTAGAAATTTTTACACGATTTGAAAAATGAAGAGCCGAAGCCTTGTTTAAACAAAAATAGAGTGTTATCTAAAAACACAACGTAACGACTATTATCAGGCCAGATGGGGCCAGGATCCAAGAGCCGCGAAGCGGCTATTTAACCCTGGCAGTAGGCAAAGATACCTGTCCAGCTTGAAGTCGGTCAAAAATGATGACCGGCAGTGCAACGGCTCCCGTCCGACCAATACCGGCAGAGCAGTGGATGAGGATCGGCGTTCTAGGATCGTAATTGGCGTGGACGGGCAAATACACTACTCAGTGTTGTAAATATGCCTCAGGAGCCAGAAGAGCGTCATGCCGCGCTTTGGCACGGCGCGGTCAGGCCAATTCCTCCAGTGCACCTGCTCCACACGCCGCGTGGGGCCACCGGCTTCCACGACCTCCATCGTCAAGATTTGAATGCATTCGCCGTCCCAATCCAGCTAACAGGGAGGCTTTTTTGGTGTTCACGGAGTTTAGAAATGGTACCAAGCCTATTCTGTGCAGAATTTTTTGCTGATTAAAACCTGGGTAAGACTCCAGTAACCCCCCCCTTTTGTATCTCGGCTCCCTGTTCATCCACAAGTGTGCAAAGTATACCAAAATTTTCGTCTTACTCCGGTTTCCTGGTTTCCAAAATCCGCGAAACCATCAAAATAAAAAAGTTATAACGCTTTAAAATGCGAAAAACGGTAAACGTTGGCCATTGTGGCCGTTTTTGAAACTTTAAAGCTTTTTAACTTTCGAAATCTGGTCGTTTCGCAAATTCTGAAAAGTAGGTTTTTCTCAGCAAAAAATTCTGCACCAAATAGGCTCGCGCCATTTCGAAACTCCGTGGACACCAAAAGAAAACAGGTGGATATTGAGAAGTTCTCAATATCCATCTTGCTGATGGATATTGACAAGCGACCTACATCCCGCAGCTCGACCAGGCGAATGGTGTAGCGGCCGAAGGTTTTGACGACGCCGACCTTGGTTGGGAAGTACTCGGCACACTTTTTCTTCCCCTTTTCCACGCATTCGCACAGCATCACGATGACTTGGACGTTGTATTCGATGATCATTCTAAAGGAGCTCGGTCTGCCAAATTTAAAAGGCCGTTTGCCAGAGACCCGAACAAGCCTTGTCACAGTTTTTTGCGACCCCGTTTTTTTGATGCCATGTGAAAGGGCATAGTCGAATTAGTAGGGTGGCGCTATTTCGAGATTTTTAAAAGTTCATTTTCTAGGTTTAAATGGGCGTTAAAGTTGGAAACCTTCAAAAATTATCTCGAGAACTACTGAACCAAATTGCTCGAAATTTTCAGACAATACCTAATTTGGGGCGCTGATCATTTTTGTAATACATTGTAAAGCACGAAAATAGCCTGAACATAGGAATACCGCGTACACAGAAAGGTTTTTCGCAATTTTCTATTTAATGGGTATGCGTCGCCACTCTAGAAATACCCTTAAAAGATGCGCAATTGAATTCTACGTTGAATCATGTATTTTCCAGCGTGGCGACAGATACCCATTAAATTGAAAAATCGCTTTTAAAGAAGCCGAACAGAAAAAAATTGCGTATTCCGGAAAAGAAAGACAGTTTTACGTATCTAGAGACCAAAACAGAACGATTGCAAAAAAGAGCAAAAAGAAATTCGATTTCTAAAAGGGGGCTGGGATTGAACTCGGGTCGTTCGCCTGGGACCTGGCGGCGCCCACTAGTGGCTGTCCCCAGTGCCCCCAGGTAGACCATCGCGGGTTCGATTCCCCACCGAGCCCAATTTCGCGTAGAAAAGATATTTCTTTTTGCTCTTTTTTGTAATGTACTTGCCTTCTCCTTTAGAGTCGATTGAAATCCGCGGATTGCCAAGATACAGTATTTTTATGTTTGTGGAACAATTTTAGTTGTTTTTAGAAATGTTATTTTTTCGATTTAATGGGTGTCTGTCGCCACGCTGGAAAATACATGATTCGACGTAGAATTCAATTGCGCATCTTTTAAGGGTATTTTTAGAGTGGCGACGCATACCCATTAAATAGAAAATTGCGAAAAACCTTTCTGTGTACGCGGTATTTCTATGTTCAGGCTATTTTCGTGCTTTACAATGTATTACAAAAATGATCAGCGCCCCAAATTAGGTATTGTCTGAAAATTTCGAGCAATTTGGTTCAGTAGTTTTCCCGTGCAGACAATGAACCATTTTTATAGCCGTTTACACAGTCTATTAGAACTCAAAAGGCGATCAAAAATCTTAAAATTTCGAAAATTTTGGTTGTTTTTGTTTATGGCTTTTTGGTCAAAAACGCATCGAAATGGCTAGAAAAACCAAAAAATTTTAACCATTGCGAGTGAAACCAATACCCGTTCATAATTTCTAGCAGTCGAAAGCTGCTAAAAACATAAAAATGCATTTTTTTTTACTTTTAGCTATACTTCGTCGTCCCCCCCGGGGGGATCCCCCCACGAGGGGGGACCAGGGGGGACTGCAAAGGGGGGATGGTGGGGGGACCCAGGGGGGGACGGTGGGGGGGACCACTGGGGGGGATCCCCCCCCGCCCCGACTCGCAAGTGCGCGCAATCTGTGGTTAGATAGATCTCAATACTTGTTAAAGAGCTGCTATCAACTATAATAATTTTGTTGTGGTCTCCGTCTGTGTGAAGCCGAATTCAACTCGAAGGGGAAAGGAGCTAGAGCTTAGCTCTCTTCGGATTCGGATAGAGCGCCATCAGAAACCCCCAAACTGATAAAAAAATTACGAAAAAGTTTTCGTTTAAATTATTAAAATTAACTTTGAAAGTTTTTTCCTTAGTAAAAGGGGTGGGGGAAGGAGGTTGGGGCGATTTTGGACATAGTGAGCCAGGTCGCGCGCGTTTCGTGGATGAAAATTTTCACAGGGGATTTCATTTCTTTTTTTTCTCATTCCATCCGGTCGGTCGTTATTTTTGTTTTTTTAAGGGGATTTCAGCCATGGGGTGTATCTGAAGCCATCAGGGAGGTATCTAGGTAGTTTTGGAAGGGGATTTCAGCCATGGGGTGTATCTGAAGCCATCAGGGAGGTATCTAGGTAGTTTTGGAAGGGGATTTCAGCCATGGGGTGTATCTGAAGCCATCAGGGAGGTATCTAGGTAGTTTTGGAAGGGGATTTCAGCCATGGGGGTGTATCTGAAGCCATCAGGGAGGTATCTAGGTAGTTTTGGAAGGGATTTCAGCCATGGGGTGTATCTGAAGCCATCAGGGAGGTATCTAGGTAGTTTTGGAAGGGGATTTCAGCCATGGGGTGTATCTGAAGCCATCAGGAGGTATCTAGGTAGTTTTGGAAGGGGATTTCAGCCATGGGGTGTATCTGAAGCCATCAGGGAGGTATCTAGGTAGTTTTTGAAGGGGATTTCGGCTGTGGGGGGGGGGTTGATGGAGGTGGGAAAGGATGTGGTGGAGTGGGACATGTAGGGTAGCCCGAAGGCCAGATGGTTGCAGTCGCGAAGCGACTGTAACCATCTGGTTTTTGATAATTTAAAATACAGCAGCATGTGGTTGTCGAAAGTTCTGATATGCCGAGAGCCCCAACGAGCTAATTTGCTCTAATTTTCAAATTTTTACAGTCTCAAAGATTTGAGTGCCCAGCCTTTCAATTATTTAAAATTTTGGGTTGGTATACACTCTGATTTTTCATCGATTCTCTGTCAGGTAAATCAGAGCTTTCTAGTATTGTTTTGTCGGGCGAGCTCGACCAGAATTTTCCTCATTTCCAGAACAGAGCCAGCGGTACAGCCGTTTCGAGATTATATGGAAAGGGGCGAGAGACGCAGAGAAAAATGTCTGCGCTCTCTCCCTCTGCCCATTCTTTCCCCCCCCCCTACCCCAGTTGGTCCCCCCACCATCCCCCCCAGACGGTCCCCGCACCATCCCCCCCCGGGGGGGATCCCCCCGGGGGGGACGACGAAGTATACTTTTAGCATAAGCGGAAAGATGAAAATTAGGGTATATGTCGGCTACGCGGGGGGGATTTTACGCGGGGGGGGTCGGACTGTTGGGGCCGAGCTAACTATTTTTTTGCGTTTCTTTTTGCTACAAACAAAATTCTTAGTATATTTTTCGATGCTCTGTCGAATGGCAGTAAAGAAATTTTTTAAAAATGCCGAAAATGTCGAAAATTTTATTTCCTTCTATATCCTCCATGAAAACAACGTTTAATACATGTTTTTGTTATAATTATTTTATATTACATTAGATTGAGCTAAAATTAAAACTCTTAGTATATTTTTGGATGCTCTATCGAATGGCATCTTTAAAATGTCGAAAAAAATAGCGCTAATATCGAAAAACAGCCGCTCAAACCGATTTTCAAAGCTTATTTTTGTATTTGCCATAACTTTTTTATATTACACTAATTTTAGCTAAAACACAAAACTCTTAGTATATTTTTCGATGCTCTATCGAATGCCGTTGCGAAAATTCCCAGAAAATAACGAAAACATCCAAAAAGGCCTGCCTGTCCCCCCCGCGTAGCCGACATATACCGAAAATTAGTTTTCTTTCTATAAGCTAAGAATCCTGCCCGCTAACAATCGAATACCATAACCTGATAGATGATTTCCAAAATCTCAAATTTCCGATTCGCATATTTCGACGTTGGCTGACCAATCGAGAATCACCCGAAATGCATCGAGGGAAACGCTTTTTCAGAGATGATAGACCTTGTACACTGTGAAATTTAAGAATTCGGAAATTTCAGAGAATCTAGTTTTGGCGATGCCGTTTTAGAGGTCTTGAAACTCTCTACGCAGGAAAATGTGAGAATGGTACCTCCAATTGTGGATGACGGTGTTATCAGTCGGCCCCTGGGCCAAAATCATTCGGTGCCGGCGCGTAGGCGTATCCACGAAGTTCGCATGGATGTATTGCTCGCGACCATCAATGTGAATAACCACCCTGTTCTTATCCGAACACGGGACATCGCCGTAGGCGTTGAACTGCCGATTTTCTGGCAGTTTGGACGCCTTGCACAATTCATCCTTCAGCTCTCTGTAGCGGATTTTCGAGGTAAGAGTCTACATCACCCCCCGAGCCGGAAAGTGCCAACAATTTTTTTAAGGTCACCAATCGGTAGCTCTAGGTGCTATCTGCTACTATCCCCTGGCCGGGAGCTGCGAAAAATAAATATTAAAATTTATACAGTTAAAATAGTGTTTGAAAGGCTATTCAGATTATGCTTGTTTTTGCATAACAATTTTATTTTACACCAGGGTTGAAAAGCGGCCTCGCGGCTTATATTACCATGCTTTGAGCCAAAACAAAAACTCTTACTTTAGTATATTTTCCGGTGATCTATCGAATGCCGTCAAAAAAAATCCCGAAAAAAATAGCAAAAATCTTGAAAACTTTGGGATTCTCGGACTGGGGGGTAAAGGAAACCGTAGCCATTTTCGAAAGTAAAAAAAAATATCATACCTTTTGAGGTTCTTGAATATGCACTCAAGTCCAGGAAGGTTATGATTCACATAGGAGGCGACCATTCTGGTGATCTCAGCGTTGGAGGAAGTGTTACGGAAAATGTCCAGAAAGACTGTGAGCTGTTGGTTCAGAGGGAGCAGCGTCGGGTTTGCGATAAGTTGTTGCTCTTCGCTATTGGTGGCTGAATTCGGAGTAGACGCGTATATTGAGACACACCCGGCGTGCGCACACGCGCCTTCTTCGCCGTGCCGGCACCGTTGCCTCCCTTCTGCGTGTCGCGACTAGTTTCACTGAAGTTATTGTTTTTGGTCGGGCAAAATGATCACTTGCTTTTCGGTTCTGGGTCCTTGTGTATTCCCGGGGGGGAAGAATTTGCGGTGGGGGGAACCAACTTTTTTTTGTAGGCCTGGTGGGGATAGTAATCAAATATAAAGTGTTTCCACATTGTTTTTAGCAAAATTTAAGCCTATTTGAATCGGTAAAACTTTCTAAAAAGTTAGAAAAACGCTTGAAAAAGTCGAAAATTTGATCATTTTTGGGCCGAAAAAAATTGCTTTTCGCATAAAATTAAATTTTTTAATCGAATTTTGTAAAGTTTTTATGTTTAGGAATAGCTATAAACAATTTAGAAACACTTCCACTATTTATATAACAAATCTAGGCTTGGGCGGATAAAAGTTCGGTCCCCCCCCCACCGCGAATTCTTTCCCCAATTCTCTTCTTCTTCTTCAACGTCTTCGATCATCAAAATTTTTAAAAATGTTCTTGATAGCTTTCGAGCAATCAAAATCTACTAAAAACACTAAAACAATACACAATCTACCATCAACAGGTATAGGTGGAAAAACAAGGAATGGCCCCCAGCTAAAATCCCCCCGCTAACGAACCAGAAAACCCTTGCCAATAGCTTGATCATCGCGAAAATTGTAGGATACCCGGTGGAAGCTGGTGAAGCGGCCTCGACGTCGGCGCTGCTATCCTTCTCGGAGGCGACCTTGGTGCCGGCGACCTCTTGCTGATCAGTAGAGCCTCCATCCGGTGAAGCCGTCAAGTCAGGGTCCTCTGCGTCTGTTATCTTCGCACGACCACGTTTCCGCTTGCAGAAAAACGTGAAGAGGCCACCAGCGACGATAACGATCAACACAGCTCCGCCTGGAAATGAAAATTGGAACAGGTGTACTCAAAATGGCGATCCGGGTGCTTCCTTATTAGCGGGGGAGCAAGGCAATTTTGTTTAAATTAAGCCTATGCCTGCATAGTAATTAATTAAAATACAGTTTAAGAAGGGTCTTTTCGTAGTTTCTGATCACCAAAACACTATGAAACTGGATTAGAACATCCTATAATTCTGAAGTTTCTGACCAATTTGGTAATTTTTCATACCTTTGGGCGCAAAAAGTCAGTTTTCTGAAACTGTTTTAATTTTTTTTTAAAGTTTACATTTAAAGTTTAAAGTTTTAAAGTTTAAAGTTTAAATGCGTTTGTTTGTTGTTGAATAAAATCACTTTAAAATGCTATTGCAAATTGTGTCACTTTAATTACTTCACCCCTAAAACGCCTCCGCAAAAAAAAGAATATTCCTTGCTCCCCCGCTAAAAATTTGCTCCCCCGCTAACACGGAAGCACCGCGGTCGGTGCGCATAATACCGACCTGCGCCCAGATAAATGGTCCAGTCTTTCGAGTTATCCTCCACATCCGGGGCTTTTGGCGCGGGTGTGACGGCCGCGACGATGCAGAGCTCCTAAATTCAGGGCTTGTCATGGGTTTTCACATCCGTTTAGCGCTGAACGTCATTAGTCCGTACCATTTCCGAGTCGACGTCGGCGCACGGGCGTGGAATCGCGCGAAGGCTGATTTCGTCGGGGTAGAGGGCGACCAACGGATTCGTAGCACAGTCCAAGAAGTAGTCGTTCTTCACGAGCGCCGCCTGCTCATCCTGGAACAACGTTCTTGATTTTATTCGAAATTTTCGATGCCTTCAGATCCTTCCAATCGATGCATCTCGGGTATTTGTAGTCGATGTTGGCAGGGTCGACGTCACGTCGTAGGCGGAACAATGGCTGTAAGGTACTGTTCGATTTCGACGAGGGAAAGTTTGGGTGAGGTTCGAATAATTCAGTTTATATTTTAGGTGGTAAACCATGTAGAAAACGTCAAAAAACACTTCCACTTTTAAATTTTGGTTAAAAATTTATGTGTTATTTTACATGGATTTTGTCAAAGGGCTAGCTTTAGACAAAGAGCAAAAACGTCTCGAAACCTCGGTGGTGTTTGTGTCGCCCGGAGCAGCCGCGGCCGTCGTCGGCCATTTCCGAGCATATTTCAGGGTTTCCTCCATCGACATCAGCACGGCATAGGGGCCCGACTCAAAAATTCGCATAAATTGGCTCGAGTAAGATCAAAAATAACATCTCCAACACCGGCTGGAGAGAAGACTCTAAACGACTAGAAACGCTCACCATCTGCCGTCCCAGCACGTAAACCTTGATGTCCTTCTCATCTTGGCGGTCGACGATGTCGAGCAGTTGGCAATTAGCGTAGTCGTCCCGCGACCCCTGGTATTTGTAGGCGCAAGCCTCGACGCATTCGACCGGAGCAGCATCACTGATCGCTTTGAGCTCGGCTGGAACGCTGCCCTCACTGAAAATAAGAAAACAAGTAGGAAGCGTCGGCTCGAGCTCACCCGCAAATTGGCCGCGGCACGCAATCAGCCTCGACAACAGTGGAGCCGGCCGGACAGTACTAGAAATTTCAAAACTTATATTCTTATTCTATTACCGTGATTTTTGTCACATCGCGGATGTCGTGCCACTCCTTTGGGAAAGGTGAAGCATCTTCGGGGATTAGGCCGGTGGCTACTTGAAGGCTTGGCACGCACGTCAACGCTGGCTTCGGATCGGCGGAAGTATCGTGCGCCCGGCGAAGGGCCCTATAATCCGATGGATTGCGATTTCTCTGGGGAATCAAAAACCTTGGCACCAGAAATCCGGCGTCGCATTGGACGTAGAACGCTGGGCTGACATCGACAGACTTTGGGTTAAAGGGTGCGCGACTCCTGTAAGACCAAAATAGCATTAAAAGCGCAATGCTTACAGCAGGTCAACGGGACAAGTTTCCTTAGCCAACATCTCCCTTGTGCAGACGTTGAACGCCAGCAGCACGTGTTTCTTCTCCACTAAATCAAACCAGTTGTCGATCAGAAACTATATGAACCTCCGCCGGTCACTTTATCTTCAAAGGCGACGGGCTTGATGCAGATTGGCTGTCCGGCGGCGCCCTGGGTGGGAAAATTCTCCTAAACAAAATGACTGCTCATTTTAAAAACACTTACACAAAAGAAGTTTGCGGGATCACAGTGGATCAGGGACCAGTATTTGGTGGTTGGAGTGAAGGAAGGGGGTTCGACGCAGAGCTCAGCTGTGCATGGTTTGCACTGAAATTCTTTCATTTTTCACTCCTTTCATTCCAAGTAAGGTTTTTGAAAACCAAAAATTGGAGCCCTGCTTTTGTCCTTCTATTTACAAATGGGGTGGAATCCTTATACAGCAACCTCTTTCTCCAGATCCATTGGTGGATTGTGCGGCAATCCCTTCATGGCCATCCAGGCGTACGCGTAACAGACGAAAGCGCGGCCTCTGCAGGCTTCATCCTGGGCGAACCGACGAGCCCGACTGTTAGCCACCAGTGCCCTGAAGCGTCGTGTAATTTTTTTGGTTGGCCAAAATGTCAAAGAATCTCAATAACGCGGTTTTTGGGTGGATCGTGAAAGATTTTCATGAGTATAAGGCAGATGCAACGTAGACATAAACTCACCAGACATCAGGCGGGTAGGCGCTGATGAGCAGCAAGAAGATGAAGCCGAACTTCAACATCACCAAGTAGAGAAATACGATTCGAAGGAGGCTTATCGGCTTTTATATGAGCTGCGAAACATATGCTAATTGATTGATTCAGTATATGCTAATTGGTATGATAATTGCAATTCAAGCGAAATATGCACATGTCGAATAAGAATGAGCGGCATTATGGTAATGTTGGTAGGCTAATTGTATTTTGAAGATTCCAACATTCCATTTATCAGACAGACAACAAACAAGGTATAAAAACTAAGATATGGCTTAAGTGCAGTTTACCCCCCCCCCGCCCCCCAGCCCAGCTCCTCAGCCATACGTCCTATTAATGCGCCGAGTATCTCAAAATGTTCGCCGTGGTCGAAAACCCCTGGAAAAGTTGTTTACTTGCGCAAAAAAATTGTCAGAAAATTTTTTACAAAATTTTGAAAGTTGAAACGATTAAGCCGCTATGCATCAATGTACCAGGAGTCAAAAACTCAAATATTTCTGTTTTCCGCTATTTTGTTCGACCCAAGCGTACTGTAGGCTTTTTCTCCAGAGCAAGAGCTACATTTTGGTACCATTGACAGCTCTGTACGACTAAAGATAGCCGAGATACGAAAACTCACTTTGGAACAGCAAAAATTAACTAAAGAAAACCCAGACTTATAATTCTTATAAAAAATTTTTTAACAATTTTTGGCGCAAGTAAACAACTTTTCCAGGGGTTTTCGACCACGGCGAACATTTTGAGATACTCGGCGCATTAATAGGACGTATGGCTGAGGAGCTGGGCTGGGGGGGGGTAAACTGCACTCTAACCTAAGATATTTTTCTTATGCCGATTCCTACTTAATAGAAAGGCCCGGATAACGCTCGGACTCAGGATTGGCTGAACGTTTGGACATTGATAGAATTACATACGCTGATCATCACCTCGTTTTCCGAATCCTACTATATATCAAACAAATAGTTCCTGTGTGTATGTATGTATGTGCATTTGCATGCAACTTCCGTCAGCGTGTTCCAGCAGTATCTCAAGAAGGGGAGTCGTTAGGGGTGTGTTTTATACCTCATTCGGTGCGTAATGACTGCACACTAATAAAAATTTCGAAAATTCGGTGTTTTCGACGTTAAAATTAAGTTTTTGTGAAAGATCGAAAACTCTCTTTGTTAGGAAACAATTTGCATACGCCGGATGTTGCGGTTGCCTATATAAGGGAAGAAAGCCAGCGGTTCTCGGTTTTTGTCATCGAAAATCGCGAGAATTATGCAAAGTGAAGAAAATCATGCGATCAGACGGGGGCCAGGGCTGTTACTAATTTTGAAAGCACGAGATATGCCCCTTTTAAATTGATACTTTAGTTAAAAACGTAGACTTTTGATCTTGTAAAAAACGCAAAATCCAATATTTTGCAAAAATAAATATCGTCAACCCCTTTCGAAAAAGTTTCTCTTTTGAATGAGCGCTCTAACTCAACATTTTCGGAAAATTTTTAAGATTTCTGTCTGGGAAGCAGTCAAAACCGCCTACTTCATGGAGCTGTAAAACGCCGTATAGATGAAGCCTGCTTGAATGAAATATACCATTCGAATCAGAAAAAATTCTCTATCAGATTTCTGCTTAAAACAAATTAGAATCAACTATAATAAAAAAGTAAAGACGTCTGTCTGTGTGTGTGTGTGTGTGCGTGTCTGAAGCCGAATTCAACTCGAAGGGGAAAGGAGCTAGAGCTTAGCTCTCTTCGGATTCGGATAGAGCGCCCTCAGAAACCCCAAAACTGATAAAAAAATTATGAAAAACTTTTAGTTTAAATTATTAAAATTAACTTCGAAAGTTTTTTCCTTGGTAAAAAGGGTGGGGGACGGAGGTTGGGGTGATTTTGGACATAGTGAGCCAGGTGACGCGCGTCTCGTGGATGAAAATTTTCACGGGGGATATCATTTCTTTTTTTCTCTCATTCCATCCGGTCGGTCGTTATTTTCGTTTTTTAAAAGGATTTCGGCTAGGGGAGGTATTTAAAACCATCAGGAAGGTATTTAGGTAGTTTTTGAAGGGGATTTCTGCCATGGGGGGTATCTGAAGCCATCGGGAACGTATCTAGGTAGTTTCTGAAGGGGATTTCGGCTATCGGGGGTTTTGATGGAGGTGGGAAAGGATGTGGTGGAGTGGGACATGTAGGGTAGCCCGAAGGCCAGATGGTTGCAGTCGCGAAGCGACTGTAACCATCTGGTTGCAAATAAAAAAAGGACGGCATACTGCTGCAACGAGACCGCGTCGCATGCTCTTTTGTCCCAGTTTCGACGTATAACGTTCGAATTTGGAAATACTGCTGATTTTTCTCGCATCGTCAAGCGATTCCGATCGTTCGCGCTGTTTCAACTTACAAAATTGATCCCACAGCGGCCCGGCGCCTAATAAAACGTCCGGTAGAATTGGAAACCAAGAAAGACCGCCACGCGCGCGATAGACGCGTCGCGCCATTGCGAAAGCAAGCCTGCGCAGCTAAAATCATGCTGCTATTTCGCGCCCCAGGCAAAAACCCGTACAGTACGCCTTTTCCCGGGAGCCATCGGGACCGAACCCATGGGCGGTTGTGATCCGGAAAGATCCCACAACCGCCCATGGGTTCGGTCCAGATGGCCATCGGAAAAGTCGTACAGTACGCGTTTTTGGCGCCGGGCCCGGGTTTTAGCTGCGCAGGCCCGCTTTCGCTGTTGCGCGACGTGTCTAACGCACGTGTTGCGGTCTTTCCTCGTTAGAAAAGCTACCGGACGGTTTATCAGGAGCCGGGCCGCTGATTTGGGTGGTTTACAGGGCATTACGACATGTAAAGCCCGCGCGGCCAAAAACGATATTCTCTTTTTTTCTCAAATATTGCGTGAAACGAAATAAATTTGCTGCTACTCGTAGGGAGCACCCCTTCGATTTTTTGACTCGCAGACGAATTTCGACTTCCTGGCTCCTTTGAGCGTAAACCGCAAAGATACTCAGCTACTTGTTTAAAGATGCACCGAAGCTGAACTGAACAGGGCTGCAGTACATAACGCTGAGGTGTGTGTCAAAGAAGCCAGTCGAGTCCGAAATCACAAGGTGAACACAAGAAGGGTACGGTAAGAGCTCGTGTGTTCATTCTTGCAAAGCACTTCCGACCACCTGATCCCAAAAATTCTTTATTACTCGCCAAATGCACATGGAATAGATAGAGATAACAGGCAGATTGGGGCAGAGGAAATACACATTGTTCCTCCGTTGTCTGTTGCGGTTTTTCGGTGATCGCCTTGGAGACGGCGATGAGGGAGAGTGGGCCATATAGGGTGGATGTAGTCGGGGGTGAAGTGGGCCATGTGCGGGGGTGTTGATCTGAAAACGATTCTCGTCGTGTTCATCTCCGATATGCCCTAATAGACACGCGAGTCACCCACCATATACTTGTGCTGTAGTTGGGTTGTCGGACGGGCTATTTGGCATCATTTCACTTCTTGGATTCGCTGGAATAAGGGGGAGTTGCTGACCGACCTTTCTTGTAGAAGTTTGGAAATACCTAGTAGCTTAATAGAGGTTGTTTTAATAGTGCTTTCATTGATATAAATTTAAACAACGAGAATCTACGAAAATTTGGTCAAAATCGGCTATTTTCGTTCGAAAAATCTAGATTTTTATGTTTTTAATACAGATTTGTAAAGTTTTTACGTTTATTTAATTTATCTAAAAAACAGTAAAAACTGTCCAAGTTATTTGACTGTTTGGGCAAACTGTAAGAAAAATGAACAAAAGGATCAGAATTTTCGAATTTTCGAAATTTAAAAATTTTTTATGACCCTCTAGCAGTCAAACACTACTAAAAACACTACAAATTGCATGATTATATGATAGAAAAAATTTTCTATCGCTAAAGCTTTATGGAAAATGATGAAGACCTGGTGGAAGCTGGTGAGGCGGCCTCGGCGTCGGCGCTGCTATCCTTCTCGGAGGTCCTCTGCGGGTAGCGAGGGTCCTTTGCGAATATTATCTTCTCGACAGGACGGGGCCGCGTGCAGTGGTACACATAGAAGCCAACGACGATGAGAACAAACGACCCCACTCCGCCTGGAAACGCAAATTGAAGGGGTTTTTCGCAGGGCCCATAAATACAAAAAAAAATTATTTTTCCTCCAAGATTCGCTAGAATTCGATGGAAAGAATATATTTTCTTAGTTTGTTCTGCTTCTCGATTTAAAACATAGCTAAACTTCACCAAAATTTCATTATAACACTTAACACCAAAAATACCTTACTAGGCATTTTTTAACTCGGTCCTGCGATCTGAGGCGCTTAATACCGACCACCAATCAGATACCACTTCAAGTCTTTCGAGCCATCCTCCCCATCCTGGGCAGTTGGCGGGAGCGTGACGGCCGGGACGGTGCAGAATTCCTAAATTCGGGGCTTTTTCACTTATTTTTACGTGCGTATCACTCAACGGCAATAGCCCGTACCATTTCCGAGTCGACGTCGGCGCACTGGCGTGGAATCGCGCGAAGGCTGATGTCCTTCGGGTGGTGGGCGACCAACGGATTCGTATCACAGTCCAAGAAGTAGTCGTTCTTCACGAGCGCCGCCTGATCCTCCTTCAGATCCTTTGATTCGACGCATCTCGGGAATTTGTAGTCGACGTTGGCAGGGTCGACTTCACGGTGGAGGCGGAACAGTGGCTATAACCGGAATACCGCTAGTTCTTTAGCCTTTCGCAAACGCAGCGCTATTCAACAGATATTTTTCTTGGTTCCAGCTTTAGTTCTTCTTCTCGAAACACTTTCTTCCTCAATGCTTCGAAGCGGAAAAGAGCTTAAAAAAGTCAAGACTGAAATTTTAAATTTTCTTGAAAGACGGTATTTGTCTTTTTTTGGAACATAGGGGGTTTTTTTCACATTTTAAGGGAGAAGCGAAATTTTTTCGGAACCAATTTTTTGACATATCTACATATATATAGCTTAAGTGTTTCGAAATTGTTTTTACTATCCCTAAACGTAAACACTTTATACAAACTTATTAGAAAATACAAAAAGTATCGATTTTTCGACCAAAAATGGTCATTTTTGAACTTGAAACATTTTTTTGAGCAAAAGTAACATGTTTTTTAATGTTTTAAGGTTTTAGATAGTTTTCTAGTACAAATATAGGTTGATTTTATTAATTCATTATGAAAATACTTCCTATTAAGTTATCGTGTTTTTCTAAATTAATACAAAAATTTGAGATACCCCCCGCCGATAAGGAGAAAGAGCGAGTTTTTGTAATGGCAATGGCTTCAGAAATAACAAAATACTTTCTCTCTTTCTCTCTCTCTTTCTCTCTCTCTCTCTCTCTTTTCTCTCTCTCTATTTCTCGATAGTAGCGCAAGGTGCTCTCTCAATATCTACCTTGGTGGTGTCGGTTTCAGCTGAATCTGTCGCGGCGCTCGGCCCTACCCGACCATATTTCAGGGTTTCCTCAGGCGACATCAGTACGGTGTAGGGGCCCGACTGCAAACTTCGTATAAACTGGCTCAAGTATTATGTAAAGGATAATGCCTACGACTATAAATACAATAGACGAAATATCTGACCATCTGCCGGTAGAGCACGTAAACCTTGATGTCCTTCTCATCCTGGCGGTCGACGACGTCGAGCAGTTGGCAATTAGCGTAGTCGTCCCGCGACCCCTGGTATTTGTAGGCACAAGCCTCGACGCATTCCACCGGAACAGCATCACTCATCGCCTTGAGCTCGGCTGGAACGCTGCCCTCGCTGAAAATAAAGAAAAATGGTGGGCAACGTCGGTTCGAACTTGCCCGCAAATCGGCTGCGGCACGCAATCGGCCTCGACATCTGTGGAGCCGGCCGGACAGTACTAGAAATTTCAAAACTTATATTCTTATTCTATTACCGTGATTTTTGTCACGTCGCGGATGTCGTGCCACTCCTTTGGGAACCGGGAAGCATCGGTGGGTGATAGGCCGGTGGCTACTTGAAGGCTTGGCACGCAGGTCAGGACGGGCTTCGGATCGGCGGAAGTCTCGTGCGCCCGGCGAACGGCCCTATAATGCGATGGATTGTGATTTCACTGGGGCAGCAAAAACCTTGGCACCAGAAATCCGGCGTCGCATTGGACGTAAAACGCTGGGTTGATTTCGACAGACTTTGGGTTAAAGGGTGCGCGACTCCTGTAAGACCAAAATAGCATTAAAAGCGCAATGCTTACAGCAGGTCAACGGGACACGTTTCCTTGGCCAACATTTCCCTTGTGCAGATGTTAAACGCCAGCAGCAAGTGTTTCTTCTCCACTAAATCAAATCAATTCTGGATCAAAAATTTTATTAACCTCCGCCGGTCATTTCACCTGCAAAGGCGAGAGGCTTGATGCAGATTGGCTGTGCGGCGACACCCTCGGTGGCAAAATTCTCCTAACCAAAATGACTGCTCATTTTAAATACACTTACACAAAAGTAATTGGCGGGATCACATTCGATCAAGGCCCGGAACTTGCCTGGAGTGAAGGAAGGGGGGTCGACGCAGAGCTCAGATTTGCATGGTGGACACTGAAATTACGGTAAACTATTTTCATTCCAAGTAAAGTAGAAATTAAAAATCGGGGCCCTACTCCTCTACAACGAATGCAACCGGCACCTTTGTCTCAAGAGTCGTTGGTGGATCAAAAGGCAAACCCTTGGCGGCCATCCAGGTGTACGTGTAGCAGAAGAAAGCCCGACGTTCACATGCTTCATCCTGGGCGAACCGACGAGCCCGACTGTTAGCCGCCAGTGCCCTAATGCGTCATCAAATTCAAATTTTTTGGTTGATCAAAATGTCTTCAAGAATCTGGGCAACGACTTTTTGTGTGAATCATGAAAAGATTTGCAAGTTTAAAATACGAAAGCTCGCACCGACACAAAAACTCACGAGACATCAGGTGGGTAGGCGCTGATGAGCAGCACAAGGATGAAGCCGACCTCCAACATCTCGAAATAGAGAAATACGATCGAAAGAAGGCTTATCGGCTTGTATATGAGCAACAAAACATCTGATAACTAATTGGTTTGGCTTATGCTAATTAATATGATAATTGAAATCCCAGGAAATACGCAATTGTAGCATGCAAATTAGCCGCTAACTGCTCCTGATCGCAATTTGAAGCATTGAACCTTTTCACTTTTCAGGCAGACAGAACCTGAAATAATAACTAAAAAATTTTTATTAACACCGAATTGGCTGATGATAATTCTTGGACAGCTCTGATGCCCTAAAAATTGTCTGTATCTGCCGATTCTCTATGCTGTTATTTGTTAGAGACGTGTCTTCTTCCTCCTTGTTTGTAAAGATTTATTTGAAACAACAGGACACAATAAATCGGGCCTAATACACGTTAAAAAAAGGTATCTACATGCAATGAAGGGGGAATTCACCCGAAAAGCTACATAATTTCAGGCTGAATTGACGGTCGGTTGTCGGCGGAGGTAAGTGAAAAAGTGTAGGCATTTTCAGGAGGCACTCTTGATTAATGCTCGAGTGATACTAGTGATACTTTAAAAACGATAAACAAGCTAAAAACACTTTCACAAGTCAATAAATCCATACACGCTTAGAAAATTGGGCTTGATTTTTGAATTCTACTTGTTGAATTAAAATGACCATCAAGTGGCGACCAGAATTTGTTGGCGTCGGCAACGGAAAGTGACGGACTACCAGTACGCAACGAAACTTATGACTTTTAGGGAATCACAGGTGGGAGGGGAGGAATCGTGAGGGGCTCCGGCTCAGCCGAACTGCTCCCGGGGAAATGCTAGGCGATCGACTAAGACAAAATTCTGTTTCGACAATTACAAGGGTTCTGGTTTTTAGGGTTTTAGCGGTTTCCATTTTTTTAAATTCACCGATTGCCGAGCTGCGGCTTCAGAATCAAAATCGTCGTCACACCAAGCAGATAAGCCGCTACGAGCTTTTGCTGGAGCGTCAGGTGGAAGTAGTGGGGTAGAAAGGAGACGCCGGCGTTCGCGTCTCCGATCGTCGGCAAAAATAGAGCGACGGCGCAGAGGAAGGCGATCACGACGCAGTGTCGCTGGTACTTCTCCAGCTCGGCGCCGGGCTCTTGGGCCTGGAAATGTGTTTTTTACTTTATTTGGCTAAATCTACCTATATTCGTGATTTTTTGTTTTTCAATCATCTCTACCTACCTGTGGTTCCACGCGTACGACCGGCTCCCTTGGCCGCTGTTCTCGGGACGTTCGATCCGAGGTTCGCGGATCGCTTGGAGACTCGCTTGAAGCTCCGCTGGCCACCCACACCGTACGCAACGCAATGTCGCGTTGGCCGAGTAGCTGAAGGTACTTCGTTTATAGATTAACATAAGGCTTCAGCCATCTTTAGGATAGTTTTGCTAGCCCAACCCACCTCCTTCTCTCCTAGTTTCCGGGTCTCGAAGCGCAATTTTTCTACGGTGCCAGCTTCCAGTCGTCGTCGGCAGCGGACGATTCTTAAAAAGGGCGATTAACAAGTATTCAATGGTTTTTAGCCAGTATACGGCGCAAAACGGCTTGGAAACTCATAAAAAATTTCAGAAAAGCTATGCGATAAGGAATAGAAAACTCATTAAAACCGTTAGAAAGGCTATAAAAAGCTTGTTTTATTAGTATTTTAGATGTAGAAACACGTTTTGTATTTCTTTATTGACTTACATATCCTTTTTCGCCTTGCTCCTGATCGTCCCCGCATTTTCTTCGACCTCGTAGTTGTCGGGGGCGGTGGCGAGGACTGAAAAATCTCTATATTTCATCACAAAACTACAATAATGCCACTTTTTTTGTCAAAATATGGCTTTTTAAGGACATTTTCTACCTTTCTCTACTCAAGGATACCTCACCTTTATAAGTGATTGGATAATCGAACGGGTTGTACAGCCCGAAGATTTTCCGGTTTCGATTCGGGTCGCCGGACGAGCTGGGGCCAATCTGGAATGGCTCGAGTTAAATATTAGCAAAAAAGGACGTAACCACGAGTACATTTCCACTAAATATATCCTACTATATATAAAAAAATAGTGTCTGTGTGTGTGCCACTTTGCATGCAACTTCCGTCAGCGTGTCCGGAGGATATCTCAAGAGGGCAGGGGTTTTAAGGGGCGTATGATACGTCATTCGGTGCGTAATGGCTCTGGGGGTAGGCACTCATATTTTCGAAACTCATATTTTCGAAACTCATATTTTCGAAAACTCATTTTTTCGAAACTCATACAGTCCGCGTCATAATGATAGGTTCACCCCATTTTAAGACAGCTTGTTAATCTAGAATAAGTTTCGGATAAAACGGGCGTTGTAATCAGTTAGGGCATAGCTCAAAACCTTCAAAGCCAGTATCCATTTGGTTAGAAAAGGCTTCTAGATTTTGAAGGAATTTTATCTCAAAAAAAGGTTTACTGGAACCGCGTCATAAAGATAGGTTCACCCCGAATTTTTCTGCAAAAATCATACATTCGGATTTTACTTATATTTTCAATTAAGTAGCATTGAAGTGTACATGAGTTTCCTATACTTGGTTTTACCCGAAAGGTTTCACGGAATTTTTTGCAACAGCAGATTTTAACAAAGAAATCACACTTTTTTAGGATTATCCGGCGATACTCGTTTTAAATTTTTAGTATGTAGGCGGTTTCGGAAAGTGCACATAATGACGAGCATTTTGGTATATAAACGGCTATAGGAACTTAGGTGTTCACGAAGATACAGGTCTAGAAACATGGAACCTACTGCGGCCCATACTAAATGGTCGCCAGTCCTTACTTGCGCAGTCCATCCCAGCTTTCTTCGCGTGTGTCAGCCCACTATCGCCGAAGCCAAAGAGGTTGTTATATACCAAAATGCTTGTCTTGAGCTGCTCTTTTAAGACCATAGAAGAAACTTGCGCTTCCCGTTAAATCCAGCCCGTATTGCCACAAAAATAGTAATTTCTTTGTTAAAATGGACTTTTGCAAAAAAATTCCGTGAAACCTTTCGGGTAAAACCAAGTATAGGAAACTCATGTACACTTCAATGCTACTTAATTCAAAATATAAGTAAAATCCGAATGTATGATTTTTGCAGAAAAATTCGGGGTGAACCTATCTTTATGACGCGGGTTCCAGTAAGCCTTTTTTGAGATAAAATTCCTTCAAAATCTAGAAGCCTTTTCTAACCAAATGGATACTGGCTTTGAAGGTTTTGAGCTATGCCCTAACTGATTACAACGCCCGTTTTATCCGAAACTTATTCTAGATTAACAAGCTGTCTTAAAATGGGGTGAACCTATCATTATGACGCGGACTGTATTTTCGAAAACTCATATTTTCGAAACTCATATTTTCGAAAACTCATATTTTCGAAACTCATATTTTCGAAAACTCATATTTTCGAAACTCATATTTTCGAAAACTCACATTTTCGAACCTCATATTTCTGAAAACGGTTCTTGCGTGGGGGGGACTGAACTTTTTTCGGCCCAAGCCTAGATTTTTTATATAAATCGTGGCATTGTTTCTAAACTGTTTATAGCTATTCCTAAGCATAAAAATTTACAAAATTTAATAAAAAACGACAAAATTTTCGAATTTTTCAAGCGTTTTCTTAAACTTTTAAAAAAGTTTTTCCTATTCAAATAAGTTCTTTTTTGTTTTTTCCTATTCTTCCCCCCGGATACGCAAGAACCCCGAAACTCATAGTTTCGAAACTCATATTTTTAAAATTCATATTTTCTTAGGTTTTCTTAAGTTACCCAAGCCTATGCAAAGCTGTAACTATCAGTTTTCGAAAATATGAGTTTCGAAAATATGAGTTTTCGAAAATATGAGTTTCGAAAATATGCACGCAAATCGGCTCTGGGATGACTGCACGCATGTCAGATTTTGCAAATTATGTTATTTTCGACATTAAATTTAGATTTTAGTGAAATTTTCGGGCACCCTCTTTGTTAGGAAACAATTTGCATACGCCGGAAGTGGTGGGGGTCTATATAAAGGGGCAGAGGGAGCGTTTTCCATTGTTTTTCATCCCAGCCCGAGCGAATTATGCAAAGTGAAGAATAACATGGGCTCAGACGGGGCCAGGGTTGAAAAGTCGCGTAGCGGCTTTTCAACCCTGGTTACATTTGAAAACCAGAAAACTTACAACAAACTCCGCCTCCGAGGGGAAGATGAAGACGGGCAGACGCCCCGCTTCATCCATCATGCACGCATAAGAACCTTCTGAAAGTAAATCGGAGTAATTTTGAGTGGCTTCAACTAGGAGACAAGATACGATAGGCTGCTTTAGGAGAAGTTGAAGCTTCTAGGTTTCCTAGTTTTGAATGCTCTATATTTAAACGAGGAACGCGAGCTTTTCAGATCACGCTGGTTTCTAAAATTTCACAAACCCGAGCCAATCGAACATTTGAAAACTCCTAAATCTGACTCTAAAAATCGATAATCGGGTTTTAAATCAATGAAGAGTTTTTTAAAAATCAACTAGTTTTATTCGACGTTAAGTTGAGTTTAACTTGCTCAAGTCGCTGCAAAAGTGATGTATTCCATGCCCCTCTATTTTCTATTAACAAATATCCTACAATCAAGCCCTCAACCCCAAAGTTCATTGCGAAAAATCGATAAAGGATTTATTAACAAGCTCTATAAAAAACTAGAAGTTTTCCAACTGCTTTTCTCCGCCGGAAATAGAACTTAACTTGCTGAAGTCGCCCTAAAGGCGGCATAGCTTAAGTATAGGTACATCACATCACAGTTATCTAAAAGAGGCCCTCGGAGCACCAAATTTTATGCCGCAAAGTCGATTTATTAAAAAGCCGTATTAAAAGCTAAACTGTTTTAACTCTTTTTATTCTATGTAAGTTTAGTTGAACGTAATCGCGTGGTCACAAAAGCTTGGCATCTTAACTCTACATATATTGCATCAAAGGTATCCTATCTGAGCCCCCAAACCCCAAAAATCAATGCCAAAAAATCGATAATCGGGTACGGCAGGAAATGTGGCAGTGAGCGGGGCCGACTGCTGCGGGTGAGCGGATGGGATGGGTTGTCAAAGCACCAAGCCAACCCGACCCACGAGGCTATAGCGTGCCCTTGGACGGGGCGAGAGAGCGGAGAGAAGGGAGAGACGTAGGCATTCAAAAAGAGTAAACAGCTGTGTGTTATTGGACGTATTTTGATGATGAGAGGGAGATGATGGCAGAAATTAGAGGGGAGTAATTGGATCAATGCAAGAAGACATCGTTTTTGAACGGGGCTGCTAGTGTTGCTTTCAACGGAAATTTAGAACCTATTTAGACGTACGCTAGCTAAGCCTAAAATCAAGCCAAGTCTATGCAAAAGTCATTTATGGCAAAGTCAAAAACCCCGAAACTTCTATAGGAATTTTGAAGTAAGGCTAGCTTTTTTTGGTTTGCGTTGAAAATTCTCACTTTCCGGGGAAAAATTTTAAAATGAAGCTATTTGCAAAGGCGTACTATGTATATACTCAAAAAGCAGAGGAAATCGGTTGAAATTTGACTGGAATGGCTCTTTAAATGGGAAAGGTGGCGTGCAAGACGGGGAGAAATCCGTCTTTTAGGGTTTACAGTGGAACGACGCAGCATTTTTAGCTGCCTGTAAAACCCGGGCTTCAAGGTCGGGCAGGAGGGGCGGGGATATGGAGCATCCTAAGACATTTACATGGTGCGTACGGAAAACATGATCTCGGGCGTATTTTATAGTAAATGAAACGCCAAAAGAAAGCTCGTTAAAAAGCTCCAAGTTCGGTAAATAAACTTAGAGTTTGTAGTATCTGCATAACCTTGCATGGTGAATTCGGAAAAAGACTTTTCGAAGTTTGTATAGTAAAAGCAAGGCCGAAAACACGTCTATTAAAATGTTGCAGAACAGGAAAAGCTAGAAATACAGTCTTTAGAAAATGCCTTTCAAAATTAAGGTCTTTTAAGCGATGATGCGAGCGCGGATACGAGGTTAATACGAGCAAAATCACCATTTCCGAGGCTTGAAAGTATTCAAATCGTTAAAAAAACCTGAGCCATTAAAGCTAGATATATCGAGATTTAGGTGTTTATAGACGCGTCATGTAGCCCTTGCTCCCCACCAGTAACCAATTAGTTTTATTACGCTTGCCAGGGAACAATTCTAAAAAAGACCCACCTGTGAGTACCATCCCGTCGCGTTCGGTTTAACCGTAGTCGGGTACACGTAATCGGACTCCCCGGCCGTCTTCAAAAAACGGCAAACAGTGCGCGCTGACCGGCGGCTTTTTTGGGCGGGCCGACCCGCCGGAAGATAACGCCTCAAAAGGGAACGATAATTGGGCGGTTAATTGCTGTTTTGCAATGTTTACGAATAATCGGGTTCAAAAATGCCGAATAAACGTAGGAAAATATACATTTTTAAGCCTTTAAAATCCAGATTTGATCGAGGAAGATATGGCAAGCAAAGTTTTATGAAAAACCCATTTTTGCGTTCCAAAACTCAGTAAAAAATTCTTTGAATGCATTTTTTGATTCGATTTTTTGTGATTTTTGTGATGATCTCTCTTTTTCTCTAATTCTTTCACTCTCCTCTATCTACGGCGCTCACTCTCTCACCCTCAATCCCGCTCTTTCTCTCTTATCGTGCAGATTCTCATTTTATAAATTTAACAAATTTATTAAGAAACATTACACAGAGAATTCGTGTCAAAATCCATTAAAAAGAGAGAAAGTTTCGTCAGAACAAAAAAAAGAGAAGGAGGCGGTACCCGTCCACACCAATGAAACGCGCCAGCGTGCCCAAACAATTAGGTTATTATTAAATTACTAAAAAAACTACCGTAGCCGCGGCTACGGTAGGGGCCCCAGGGGGATGTCGGGGGTACTGTAGTGGTTTTTAAGGAGCGTAGAAGTTTGAAACTGGTCCGAAAAAGTGAAAATCCACTGGATTGGCCTAAAATTTTAACTTTAAAACTCGAAAAGTTGAAAACTACAGCACCCGGTCCCGGGGCGGGGAAAATTAATAGGTATTAGAGTCCCAGAAAGATTGAGGGATCCCTGGCAACGACGGGAGACTAAACGGAGCGACCCACACGCATTAATGAAACGGAGCTAGGGGGAAATTTGGGGGGAATTGTCGATTTTCTGGCCGACAAAGCCGACTAGACGCGCGACGAGCTCTCTGCGAACCCGGCGAAATCAACAATAGAAAATTATAAAGCTGCAAAAACAGCCAAAAAAACGATAATCAAAAATTCAGATAAATATCGAGGCATTATCCCTAGTGAGACCAGTCGGAATTGTATTGTTAAGTGGACGCCTCCGGGGAAGGAATAAATAGGAATTATGTTTTGCCCCCGGGAAATAAATTAGAATAATTGAAAAATCCTAGGGGTGTGTGGGGTGCTACTGGGTTTTTAAAATGTGTAATTTTTAGGTTGATTTTTCCAATTTTAGTTTTTTTAAGTTTCCAAATTTTACAGCAGCACCCAATTTACGAATTTGTGTGTGGTTTTTTGGTTGAGGCGTGGGTCGACCCGATTTTCGTGAAAGTCTCCAATCGCAAGTGGCAGGATCCGCATGCGGGACCCGGGAGCGAGCGGCTTAAAGGTACCGGCAAGGCAAAGCAATAGAATTTTGATCATGGATTTTATAAGATCTGCCTTGCCAATCCCTTTAAACCGCTCAAAAAACGACATACTTTGGCCCCCGTAAAGCGGAAGCGGACACGGTGGACAATGTGTTAGGTGGGGGCACAGCAAGGGCAGGCTGGGGAGTTTTTAGAATTTTTAAAGGTTGAATAAATTTCCGTTTTTCAAAAAATTGTGCCAATTTCTCCCCAAGCCACTGCCTGATAAATCGTCAAAGCACGCGCGTTTCTAGCGGACGGGCATCACGGCCACCATTCAGAAGAAGCCTTAACATTGGACAATGAAGAAAATTAATGCAGGTATCGTAAAATTATCGTAATATCGTAAAGAAAAGTTAAAAAACCGCGGTGAAGCCACGGGAATTTACGTAGTCGAGGAAGAGAGAGGGAAAAAAGGAGAAGAAAGTTTAGACCTAGAGCTAGGGGATGCATCCAAAAATTGGATGCCCGGAAATTCGAAAAATGCCAATCAGAAAAGATGGGAAGATGGAGGAGGAAGTGGGGGGCAAGGAATTTCGTGTTTTTCGACGTGTGAAACCTGTAGCTAACCGGAAGTGGGGTTAGATCGGCTTAAAAAGGGATACTTGGCGTTTTACAAAGGGCAAAAAATTTCGATTTCAGTAGAATTTTCAGATTTTTGTATCAAAAACTATTTTCGAGTTTACAGCCCGAATTCCCGCTCGAAAAAAACCAAAACAGGAAGCGCCAAGTCGGGAGGCTGGGGCTAATCGTTGCCCGGGTGTGTCGCCGCTCGCACCCCGGCCGAACTATCCCTTTCCGCCCTCTTTTGCCCTATCGAAGGCGCGAGGGCGACATATCGGGCGGAAAAACGCGAAACACCTGGGCGGAGCCGCGACGAGACACTCCACCGGGATCGACACGAGCAAGGTCGTGTGACCCTGTGGTGCATGTCTGCTCGGGCCGTCTGCCCGGGCTTTTGGTGCTCGGCTAGGTGGAGAGGGCATTCCGGGGTTGTGGTTTGTCTTGGCCGGCGGGGGAGAACAGCTGTTTTTGATCTCCCGTAATTCACGGGGTCGGAAAATGGCCTCGGGGGTACGTTTTTGGTGTCGGGTGGTGTTCCAAAAGTGACCGCTAGTGGCATTAAGAGGAAGGGTTTTTCAAAAACGACGCAATCTCCGTGACCAGATCTAGTGATCAACGCCCAATAGTGTCGGGGCCTCGAAAATCGCTCAAAAACCGGCAGACCACGGCAATTTATGCCTGCCACATGATCGTAAACTCCGGCGGGGCCAGACAAACCACAGCACCCCGGCAAACCCGGGGAAATGACTAATTACGGGGGTGCAATTTCCGAACCGGCACCTGGCAAGGTCAGCCCGGCACAGCCCGATAAACGGGCAGGGCGTCAAAACTAACGCGTTGGGCAAGGAAATGATTCCAAATTCCTTCCCACGAGCTTAAAACTCCCTAATCTTCCTCGCTCGAGATGTTTGCGAAAAAGTACGAAAAATCCTGATAATCCGCTTCAACCCCTCGTTAGTAAGAGTCCAAAATTCAGTCGAAAACGCACGAAAAACACCTGAAAATCCCCCTAAATCCCATCAATACCTCCATCAAGAATTCTAGTCAAAAAGAAGTCGGTAACAGCGTCATTAAAATTCCTTATTAAACACGATACCTTGGAAATGTGGTAGCCTGGAAGAGGAAGGGAGGGGGACAAAAAGGGGAGGGTAACAACAAGGGCGCAAGTTATCGATGACACAAAAAGCACAAGAAATTGGGGAGGGGGGAGTATTTTTGAGGCCGGGGGTTCACAAGAAGTTGATCGCGGGCGGGTGTGTGAGGCGCTGGCGGCCGAATAAATATAAATAAATACTCCGGGGCCGGGCGCAGCGGAGCACAAAAGCCACGCGTACAGTGAATAACGGGAATTTGGGGGGAGGGCGGGGGGAGGGATCGACACAAACACGACTGCTGAGTGAGGGTGACAAAACACAGGTAAACACGATGAGAGGTGGCCCCAATGGGAACAAAACTTAAAAATTACGGAACAGGCGAGGGCTTGAAATTTTTGGAACACCGAAAAAATGGCGGATCCGACGATGCGCGCCAAACGAACTCGAGTAGTAACGGAAATTGGGGGGCAACAGATGAAATGGAGTCGAAAAACTCGAGTCCCGCCACCAGGGGTAGAATCGTCTAGCATATCCTAAAATCACAAGCACAGAGACGGATGTCGTATAATTTACGGGAACGGGTCACTAGAATGGGCTGAACCAAGAGGAGACATTAAAACAATTTAAAAACAAGGAATTCTGATAGCACGCAACAAGATGGTGTGAAATTTGGGGGCTTCTTTAGTTCCACCAATCGTTGGCGGCCGCCGGACGAGACGGGGCCGGGCGCGAGCCACCGCCAAAGCCGCCACCTCCGCCGTTGCCGAAGCCGCCGCTCGAGCGTCCACCGCTCCCGTAGCCCGAGCCGCTGCCGCCGCCACCGCCGCCGTATCCGCCACCACCGCCGCGGAAGTCGCGGCCGCCGCCGCCGCCAGACTCGAGACGATGATCGCGGCCTAAAAATCGGGAGATTATAAACGGAAATAGAGCGGAATTCAAAAATAGCACAAAGCTACTTTCAGTGGCAACTTTTCGTCTCTATCACCTAATATATTTCGCTAACAACAAGTTGTTTTTAGGTGATAATCTAGTTTTGCGACAATCGATAATTTGAACCGCTTTTGAAAGTTGTTTTGTTTTTTGTCATTTTTATGCCAAAGTCATTTTTAGATAGATATTTTGGAGCTATTTAAGTTGAGTGGCCCCAAGGGCGTCAAAAAAATTTTGTCGATCGGGGGTCCCCGATCGGCCTCGAAATCAATATTCTGGGGTAGTTTTGTGCGCTGAGTACGAATTTAATACTTTTAGACTACAAAAAGTTAACTTTAGACTACAAACTACAAAAAATCAAAAATCGTCAAAACACGCGGAAAACACATTTCCTGGGCCGTTTTTTGCGCTGAATCCTATTCTTGTTAGCATTCGCGACCAAATTGCATAATTTTAAAGTTACAATTTGCGATAGGATTTTGGGAAGTTTGATCTTCCTGAATTCAGGATGCGTGCTACGAATGGCACCTATGTACCATCGGGTCCCGCAAGTCAAGTGGTACGGTAACCACCTATTAAAGGCCAGTTCGGAAATTAATTTCGCTTTTATGCGAAAGCATGAATGCTAGTTTGAACCAGCTAAGGGGCTTCACCTATTTGGACCTTGCTAGGCAGTTAGCGTTACCGGACGACCAATTCTATGACTGGACTACTACTAGTATCGGTTGTTTTACCCCCCTTCAAAAAACACATACCACCAAGTCAATTTTTGTTTTACATGCCATATTTCTTATACTACCACAAAACGTGTTTGTACGCGTCAAAACAGGCGGTGACTCAAGCGACAGCTGACACCCGCAAACCGTTTTCGAACGTGGGGCGGTTTTGGGCCCCAACTGGGAAAGGGCCCCCAACGTAGGGAAGGGACGTTTGGGACCCAACTGGGAAAGGACCCCCAACTGGGAAAGGGACC